ATCCGGTTAGCAAGATCCTGAAGAGGCCCTGTAGATAAATACGAGTGTACTGACTTGCTTGGGAGAGATTGGCCCGCCGGCCGGTAGCCTGCGGCATCAACTTCTTCGCGTCTCCTGTCACACCGAAGCGAACCGGCGGAGGAGGTCCTGTCTTCTGAGGCTGCAAAGGCTGCACCGGTGCTTGAAGCCCGGCACCGCCCATATTGTTGAATCCTCCCATGCCAGTTTGCTGCGGTTGGAAGCCCGGCATGCCGGTTCTTTGCGGCTCCATGGCAGGGGGCAAGAATGAGTTGATGCTTCCGGTGGGTTGCGCGTTGAAGCCCTGAAGCTGACCGAACTGACCAGGGAAGCCAGTAGGTTGCGCCTGCATCGGAGAGAACTGGCTTTGCCTTTGCGGATCCGCGAAAGGGCTTTGAGCAGGCGCACCTGTCATCATAGGCTGCTGCATCGATTGCATAAACTGTCCACCAGTCTGCTGCATGCCAGAGTTGAAGCCCATCACACCCGGTACTGGTTGCTGCTGAGGCACGGGATAGGCATTCATCTGTTGTTGTGGCATTTGCTGCTGCTGCTGCTGCATGGTATATTGCTGCTGCAAACGTGCTTGATTTATGTCATTCATGCTCTGCCCTGGCGGTGCCACCTGAGTCTGGAAGCCGGTCATTTGAGGCATTAAGGGCGGTGGCGCAAAGGCGCTCTGCTGAGCAGACTGAGGTGCTGACAACGGTCTCGATGGCGGTGGAAGCATCAGCGAGCCAGTGGTCGCCATGGACGGAGGCGGAGCCGGCCTTTGCCGTTGTGCAGCTTGCTGGGGCAAGCCTGTAGAGTTTGGCCTGATGGTATCAAAGAATGACGGCGTAGCTCCAGTGGGTTGAGGTGCCTGCGCCGGTGCCGGTGGCTGGATGACGACCGGGCTCGGTGCCGGCGGCTGGGCTGTCCGTTGCGGCTCCAGAGGCTTCGACAGCAATGATAAATCCTGCATTGACCCGGTGAGAGCAGGCACTTGCTGAGGCGGTGTTGGTTGCTCCGGTGGTTGAGTTGGAGCCGGAGTAGGAGCTGCGGCAGGGCGAGAGGGCTCTTGTGGTTGCTTTGCGGGCTTCACGTCCCATGCATCATCATCAAAACCACTGGCCGGTTTGGTCGTCGATGTTGAAGCAGAGGCAGGCGACTTAGACTCGGCGTCTTCGCTCGAGCCAGCCCCCTTTGCAGCGAATGCCTTGGGGTCCACAACATCACTCGTCTGAACTGCGGGTGCTGGTCTGCCTTTCCTGGTGTTGTTCCGGAGAGCTCCACCAGGACCGGAGAAGAGGCCGCCAGAAGCTCCGTCGCCTTCTCCATTTGCCTTGTCAGCGCCGTTCTTCACTCGGCCAAACTTCTGGTCCAGTGTGCGCATGACTTTCAGTATATCTCCTTCACGTAGACCCAAATTGCGAAGCACCGCGGCGTCAACGTCTGGGAGTACACTTTCGTCCATCGAGTCCTTGGCGAAGGCCTGCGCATATCGCTCGCACAAGCCTACGGCAACGTCGCAAGTGAGGAAGAACTGGAACCAATCGTACTCGGGTTTTTGCGGTTGTCCAACTGAGGCACCGATTCCGACTGGGGGCGAGTTTCTGGCCTGTGAGGCCCTGGCTTTCTTGACATTCGACAGTGGCTTGTCCTCGTCCAGTGAAATGCCAGTAACGCGTTCGACGTATTCGAGGTCCTCGACTGACATTTTTGCCACAGGGACTGCAATCTTGACGCCATTCATCTTGTGCAGATTAATCTTGCCGTCCTTGAGTCCGAGGAATTGCGCGTCGACGCTGAACGACTTCGATCGATCCGTCCACGTCCGAACTTTGGCGGGATCCGGCTCTGTGATGATGGTATTAGCAAACAGTGTACACCAGAAGCTGATACTCGGCGTCGTTGCTTACTAGACTTGCCAGACCGGCCTGAACTGCCGCCTTCGCCACGTCCGTTTTCGCGTTTACTCCTCTGCCCATAGTTATTACCATTTTCTCTTGCCATAAGACTACTGCCTCGCTTTGGTAGAGGCATTCCTGGCCCTACCTGCTGTGAGCTGTCCCTCTGAGCCGCTTTGACAGCCTCCTTTGTCAACCTGATCTCTTCCAAGCGATTCTGTTCGACGGTTGACTTCGCCGCGTTCAATCCGGTATTGCTGGTGGGCGCGGCGATGGAGCCCGTGATCTCGATGTAGCTACTCGGAACGACGCCCTCCTTGCCGTTTTTAACACGCCGCACTTGCCACCATTCTTCGCTCTTGGTGTCGTCGATTATGATGACGTCGTCGCCGATGGCAACAGTGACCTCGTCGTCGCCTTGGGCCATGAAGTCGTATAGCACTTGACCTTTCTTCTGAGCCTTTCCTGAGCCGGCCAGAATAACCTCCCGAAGCCCCTCTGCTCTAACGGCACCTGCTAGTTCGCCTAGGGCGCCCACGATCTCTTCAGCTGTATCTTTGGCTCCAGCATGGAAATCCACGCTCTTGCTCGGCCTGACAAGCTCCAAAAATACGTGCTTTCCCTCGCGAGAGTAGTGCGTCATCTTCTCGGCTGTCCATTCTTGAGAGGGACCATCCTGGGCACGCTCTGGGGCAATCAATATGTTCCCAGTTGCTAGGTTGATACCCAGAGTGGTGGGCATCTTTTTCCGCTTGCCCATCACGGATACCATCTCGTTGATATTGTACATATGGAACCCACCAGGCGCACGGTAAGGTGGTTCTTCGACTTCGGGTTCTTGGTCGTACAGGCGGGTATCTATCGACCGTTGAGATTGGATTAGTGCGGGCGCGGGTGCCGGTGCCGGTGCGGCCTGTGAGATTGGACGGGTGGGCAGAGCCGGGCTTCTGACCGGCTCCTCATCCGATGGCTCTGATGCCGGAGACTGCGGTGACATTGGGGGAGTAGCAGCGCGTGGTGGGGGGGCAGAACGACCCGCCATCACACCTGCCAGAGCCGCTGCGGGATTGTTGTCATTGGAGTTGGCAGGCATGTAGGCAGACTCCGGCCTCTCCGAATAGCTTTCCGTAACTGCGTTAGCAGAACTTGTGCGTGCCGGTAACGTTGGAGGCGGCGAAGGTTGGGCCGCCGTATCATCTGCTTCGCCAACTTCAATGTAATTGGCTGGTACGAAGCCATAATCATCATCTAGACCGACCAGAATCCAGTCAGGGTCTGACGTGTCGTAGACGTCGAGAACAGCGTCTTCGGGGAAAGAGAGTTCTTCGTCTGTTTGCCTAGTGTATTCAAACAAAGCGCGCGCCTTTGCGACAGGTTGTACCTAAGATGCATTTAGAATCAGCATTGCGACACAGAATGAAGCTTCGATGGGAGCGGTTTCGGGTGCGCCTACCTCTTCTACATAATTATTCGGAACGAGACCTTCGGGCTCTTCTTCGTCGTCGGCACTAGCCTTCTTCTTTGCTTTCCACCAATCATCCTCGGCATTCTTTTCGAGCACGTAGAGAATATCCCCGTCGTTGATGGAAAGCTCGCCTTCAGCCTGGGGCACATAGTCATAGACGGCCCTGTAGACTCCTAAAAACCCCATGTTTGCGGGGTTTCTTGGGCTTCAATGCGCCGGAATGTTCTCGACTAGGATAAATGATCGCGTGGACGTTTATGTGCGGGGAAAACCGCGTATCATGAGATGAATGGCAGCGGTTTAGGGGTGGTGGTCGAGGGTGCCGTACTTCTGGCTGGAGGACAGTATAGGGAGGAGTCGCTGCTCGTTGCCAGCGTCCCCGCGGATGGGCAATGGTTGAAAACTCGCAGGGATCGGGAGATCGGGCGTTGAGAGGTTCCTAGAGGCACAATCGGTCATGGTCAACTTCAGGGCCGCCAAATAGCTGGAAATCCAAATGCTCAAGAGGGTGACCGCCGAATCAGTGAATGTATGTCGGTCAGAGTGGGACGTATAGGCGATGCGGTACGATGCCATTTCCCATAGACTAAGGTAGCTAGGTGTCTGGAGCAGAAGAGGGTAGGCAAGTACGGACAGCAAGGACGGGGGTAAAGACAGCGCAAAATAATGGTCATACGAGATGCTCTAGTGACAACTTACAAGTCATGAGGTAGCAGTTCAGTACGCACTCGGTAAGTGTGTCCGGTATCGCGATCGCATCCGCTCGTGGGTTCGTGAGTGCGGATGATGGTTGACGTTGAGTTGAGCTGCTTGGAACTGGCGGCAACTGCGGCTGGGGCGATTTGGCAGCTTGTGCAGTACCACGGGAATTGAGAGTTGATGTAGTGTGATAGGCAGGATGGTGGCTGGAGGAATACCTAGACCGAGCAAAGGCGTGACGGTGGAAAATAGGTGGTAGAATGGAGATGGAGACGTGATTATCGTAGCGTAGCGGGTGCTCAGGTAGTTGCGGTTATCCGTTAGGCATTATTATTGCCATATGCGATGATGCGCACTGGTGACGAGCTGGGCACACTGGGCAGCACTCCATTCGGGGAGGGTGGAAGATAAGGTAAGTAGCAGGTGCCTAATGTCGGGTGGGGGCCTCCGTTATCCGTCACTGCCGCCGTCATTGTTAGAAACCTGGAAGGTAAGGTGCTTAGCTGTTAGCCCATGCCTGAAGACTTAGGAACACGGATAAATACATATATATACAACATACATACTTACACATGCGTCATGTGGCAGGTTGGTGCCAAATACCTTACCCCCTATCCCGGTCCGTCTTCTCTCGGGAAAAGTAAAGAGCTTATTCGTTTCTTATTTCCCCCGCATATGACTTTGTAAGTAGGTAAGTTGACACAATATTGAACCATTGAGTTAAAAGTGTTTGCCTCTTATAATACCCTTCCTTTCCGCAATTGATATTGCAAGTGACGTGAAAGACAGGCACCCTCAGCTCAAATGCCTTACGTCTGCAGCCCAAGTGGCCCTCCCCCATGATTCGCTGCTCAACAGGGGAGCATCGTCATGTCACAGAGAGCGGTTCATGAGTTGGACATTTGTCCAATGGCCTTGTCAGACGGGCCGTCCTGATTCATGCGCAGCTAGGCCCTTTTCTTACGATTTCTACGTAATGCAATATCATGGACAGGTACAAATAATTGCGGGCCAAAGATCGCGAAACACTCTTCAGCATGAAGCCTTCCGGCTCACCGTGTTCGAACAAGTGTCGAACTGCCCAGTAACGCACATGAATGGATTCATGAATAGGAATGTCTTTTATCCAGGTATCTTAATGCATTAGCCAATGCTATCCCTTAACCTTGTCTCCGATCTGCAATCCGCCATGATGGATTCAGATTCTTTTCCCCATCCTTTTCACCATGCCAGCCCAACCAGCTGCCTCACTGGCTGTTCCCTGTTCTGCCCCGGCTGAAAACCCCGGGAAACAATTTGGGGTCCTGTCCCGAGGTGTGGCCGTCAGTTGACCACGATGCCTCTCCTGAAGGTGCGAGACTGGCAGGAGAAGCAATTACCTCCTTTTCAAAGACAGCAGCACTGTTGGATCCTCCCACAGCAGCTGTCTGCTTACCGCCTCCGCTACCCGCGCTGGCCGGCTCGCGTTGCACCGCAGGTTGGTGTCCGCCGATGATACTTTGAGCCACACTCTGCTGGTCAGCTGTGACGGCTGAGTCGGAGGTTTCATTGGAACCGTAGGTGATGTACTTGTGAAGCCTATAACTCGTTAGCATGCTCCTGGGTCTAAGTCAGAGTTGTGCCGCCGTGATGCTTACATGTCGTGTTCCTCTCTGAGGGTCTGGTATCTGAATTCTTCCCTGCGATCAGGCACATTGGTTTTCACCATGGCATTCCCTGCCTTGCCCGGAAGTTTGAACTTTGGTCCAAGCCACTGCTCCTTGATCGCACTTTCAAAGCCACTCTGCGTAACTGAGTTCTTTGCGAGTTCACACATGTCGACGGGGCTCAGCTTGTAGATCTGGGCGGCCACAGCGTACTCCTCCATCAGCGGCTCCTTTGTGAAAGCGAATTGAAGCGGATCGTCTGTCGATAGTGACACGTTGAGGCCTCGGCGGAAGTACTGGTAAAACGGGTTCCTCTCGTAGGCGAGGAACAGGGCGTTGTTACTCAGCGGCGACATGGCGATGCCAATCTGTTCAAGGTAGAAGATGTACTGCAAGAGCGGAACCTTGCGTAGCAGCAGACCGTGGCTAATGCTGTGGCAACAAAGCAGAGCCACAGCCAGATGCTCGCTATCACCAGCTTCACCACAGTGTGGTCGCAGCACAAACGTGTTGAATCCCCGACGCTGACGCAGTGCGTTAAGCGATGACATGTTGGAGAACAGGTAGTAGAGCCAGTAACTGTAAGGAGGGTTTTGCTTCGAGTCCCAAACCTTGGGCACTGGGAACTTCTTGAAAAGGCGCCGCTCGATTTTGCTCTCGTCGTCGACACTATCAAACCCAATCACTCTCTGCAGGAAGACATGCAGCTTCGGATGGCTTGAGGGATCCCTTGAGACCTCGAATAGGGGTTCGAAGACATTCTTGACCACCTGCTCGAAATTGTCCATGAGCCCGCTGGCCTTGTACACATCGTATAAACGAGGGATCTGAATGAGCCATCGAACGTTGTGGGAGAAAAGCTTGTTGTCGACAACCCAGGCGGCCAGCTTGTCCCATTCGTCCAGGGACTTGCCGTAAATGGAAATGCGCCATTCGACCATTTGGTACTTGCTCGATTCCAGATCAGCAATGACCTCCTTGGTAATTTCTGCCAGGTAGCGGCCATTGATGAAGTTGTCCGTCTTGAGGAAGATTGTGCGGAGCCGGGATTCGCCAATTGGGTTGTACTTGAGATTGAACTTGTCAAATCTGTGGAACGAATCTGTGTGCGCCTTTTGATAGGATTAGTTACGACGTCCAAGGGCATGGAAAGAAATACACGCTTCAGAACAAAAAACTTACATGCATATCCAGGGTGTCAATGGAAAGGTCATATGCGGTGAGGTTGATGCTCTGGAACACCTCTGCTAGTGTTAGGTGCCTATCGTCGCGGAAAAGCACAACCTCATCAGGGCACTTCTTCATCTTGCTCTTGATGAAACGCAGGAGATGTTTCTGGTTCATACAAGCAGAGTGGTGAACATGGGTGTCGACCTTGCGCACGTTGTAAAAGTCTCTGTGGGGGACTTTCTTGCTGTCCGCAGTCTCCTGATACTCGTTGAGGAGGGCGTAAAGATTGAATTTGCCTTCGAGATACTGGAGCCGACGGAATGCAAAACTCTTGCTTGGACCGTCCGAGGAAATGCTCAGAATTTGATCCAGATCCATGTAGAACTCTCGAAGGGTAGGCACCCGAATGACTGGGGTTCCTCTAGCCTCAGCCTCTGCGTCGTCGAATACTTGGTAGACACCACTGTCGTCAAGCTTGAAAGTCATCTTGTCGGCGGAGGGGACTGGGAGCACATCCTGCATATCAAAGTCTTCTCCAATGTCTTGACCAGGCTTCCGCTTCTTCGATGTGGGCTTAGCCTCGGAACCCTGTACCCGACGGCTTGTGTGATCATCTGCTGTTGTGGCAGATGATGGCAAAACCATGCTGCCATTCAGGCTATTGGCATTGCTGGTGGTTTGCTCGGCGGAAGCCACAGCCCTTGCGTGCTCGGCTCCCCAAGCTGGCTGGGGAGGGGGTGGATAGATCGACCAAGTAGGATCATCCCTGGGATTGTCATCAGGTCCTTGGAGAGAAAGCCCGATGTACCTCTCTCGTAGGTCCATGATGCTCTGAATGTTCTTCGAGATAGCACTGAGCTCGGCCGTGATGTGCGGATCGGTGTCTGAAAAGGCAGCCACGCCGAGGGCAGCATGCTGGTTTGTGACGCCAACACTCGGGCCAGGTTCATGGCCCAGGCCCAGATTGTTGAATTCGCTATTCAAAAGCCTAGGGTCGGCTTCTTGTGAAGGGTGGTTCCGAGGAGGTGAGAAGTGTTCTGCGCTGGCAGCTTGCTGCTGCGTCGGTTCCGGCAGCATCATGTCTTCGTGTGCCGAAGCTTTCCCTCTGACTTGACCATGTCCTTTACCCAGGGGAGAAGAGTCCATCGGATGATCGAGATTACGAGTGCCGGCAGGAACATCACGATGCTCGGAGCCGACAATGACGGGGCTGCCATGGGGTGTGGCATGGCCTTGAGACCACACACCACTCCCCGTCTTCAGCTGGCCAACCTGGCTACGCTGGTAGAAAAGTTTGGCGTCGGTCTGGCTCATCTGGCGGTCCGCAACAGGATCGTAAAAGGCGGTCCTTGTGGGAAGATCGCGGGGAAGCATGCCGTCTTGCAGGCTTGCTCCCTCGTGGTCCTGGCCATGGGATGACAAAGGGTCTGCACCTGACGCGGGTGCATCGCCGGGAGTTTGCCCTTCTGACCCCTCAGAGCTACTGTCGCCTCGCGAGTTCAGCGCGCCCAATTCGCCATCAGAGTCGGTGTCACCATCGTGAAGCGAGAACGTGGGGCCTCTTTTGGGGGAGGTCGAGGCGGAGGTCGGGTCTTTTTTGGTTCAACAAGGCTTGTGTCTGAAAAGGGCGAACTGTCAGCACAACACAAAGCACGAAGCTCGAAGCTATACGCTGCAGGATAGGAGAAGAACTCGGCCGTCCACGAGGAATGAGGGGTAGCTTACCAGCGTGAATCAAAATTACCACATCCATTTGGGGGAAGAGGCTTCGAAGAGTACATACCAGCCATATCGAGAAGCGTTTTGAACCCTACCGAGGAGTGTTGTAGAGCCCTTCCCCCAAGAAAAGAAAAAAGAAGACAGAGATCCAGTAATTATCCAGAGGCGATGGCAGAATTATGATGGAGGAGCTATCGCAGTATCGGGTAATCGCATGCACTAGCACTCCATGTGGGATAAGGACCAGAGAACAATGGATAAGCTGAGAGAAGACGAGGGCGGGGGGTAGCGGTTGGCTCCGACCTCCGACCCACGATCACGGCGGGGTCCTAAGCTGCCACTGCCTCCGCGACTACAATGATAGCCTATCACACTGCCTGTGTGACTATGTCTTGGATCCCCTGGGTATCGTAATGGAACTAGCTTTTGGCCTACCTACCTACCCTGACTGTTCGATAGATTAATACCATTCAATAGTGCATAGGCAATTCAAGAAGGTCGCCGGATGAGTCAACGATCACAGTCATAATGTAGGTCACTATCGAGAGGTCCAAGCAGTAACCATGCTGGATCGCCAAACCGACACCAGCTGTGTAACTCAAGTTCTCAACTAGAAATGTGTCTGAAAGTTTCTAAGAAGGGTTTCCTGCCGCTGGATCAGATACGTGAGTTCGTCCAGTCTGTCTAAAATTCCTGGCTCTATTTCGCACCCACATTCTTCTGCGCCCTTGAAGTCTTGGCTCTAGAATCCAACGAGTATAGCCCTCCAGCTCCAAATACAATGATTGCCCCGATCAGGGTCCCCGCGGCCAAGCGATTCCCAAAAAGCCATATGCTCAACAGCAAACTGACTAGCTTGCGAATGTTCAGGACAATGGTGACGGTTAATGCCGAGGACACGGCAGCGAGCAAGTTTACACCCCGGATACATGCGTACTGGGTAACGACGTTTGTCACAAGATAAGCAAGTTGGCTCGGAATTTGGAGTTGAAAGAGCCCATCTCCAACATCCCCACTGAGGCCAAGGCCGGGAAGTTGCGCCATCGGCAGTGACAGAGGCGGACTGTTTGCAAGTTTTCGGAATTGGCGGATCAGTGATGGCGCAAACGGTAAGAAGAGTGGCAGTGACAGAAGGTGTGAATAGAAGAGATTCTCTCGCCAATGGGGGCCGTATTGTTTGTACGTCTCTTCAGTGTAGAGACCCATGATGGCGGAGAGGACCTGCGCCACGAACAGTACAACGAGGCCGGTCCCAAAAGCGGGCTTGCCACTCCCCTCGGTCGCTTTTGAAGCGGTCTAACTTGGGATTAGAACGAGGAAATTCGCCAGGTTTGGGATAGGACATCGTTTACGTACCTTGGACTGCGAATCCGACCAAGCTGCGGTGATGACACCGAATGTCAGGAGAATGACGGCCACGATCTGTATGCGCGAATACTTTTTCCCATAAAGAGACCCGGCAACCATGGTTGTAATACTTCCACCGGACCGAAGAATGATGTGCACAGGGACGGAGATATCGTAGCTGAACGCATGGTTGTTCAACACATTGATGCTGAAGAACAGGACAATATTGATGATCCAGCGGCGTAGAGGGACCTTATTCTGCTGTAAGAAGAAGGGTGGTCTCGATCGATCGAATTGGGAAAAGTATCCGGTGACAGCCACGAAGAGGAATTGGACAAACGTCAAGAGTGTTCCTGTACACGAGCTTGTCAGAAGGAAGTACAGATTGCGGGGGCCACGATGACATACCACTTGCAGGTTCGACCCTGGAGGAAGTGGGCGGGATTAGCAACGGCAAATATGCAGAGGGTTGGCTTCAAAGGGCGGCAACGCCGGAGTATAGAAGCAGTGCTTACTTGATGATGGCTTCCAAGGCATAGACCTATACACAGCGAGGTTAGCATGTATGTAGCTTTGATACGGTCGGTTAAGTATAGTATCACCAACATTGGAGCAGCAGCCGCCAAAGATCAGGCCAAGCATAACACCAACGGTGATCCATTGAGAAAAGAGACCGGCGACTATACGACTAGCAGTCTGCATAGACTTCTCGCTAGATGCGTGCCCATTCATGGCCAAACCGTTGGCGGCTTGATCGACCGTCTTCTCGTTCTCGTCATCGTAACCCCGGGCAGGAGAATCCATCTTCTCCAAGGGGGGCGATGAGATGCCTTTCGGCTGTCCGCGTCGTCGAGTGGTCGCCGGAGAGGACATTGAGGCTGTTCGGAGCCTGCGTGCGGATAGTTGGAAGGATTGAGCTAGACTTTTTGGGGTTCAAAGTATAATTGCAGAGGTGCGGCGCGCAGCGTGCAGCGTGTCCGAGACACTGGGACGCTGTTACGGCTGGGAAGTAGGCACGCAGGTACGAGGTACAGAGGCCAGATCAGGGCGATTGCGGGCCAATGACAATGGCGCAATTGGGTTCTGAGCTGCCCAGGCTGTGTCGGGACTCCGCTCGCGCCCCCAAAGACCACGTCTGTCCTCAAGTCTCTCGGTCTCGAATTGTTCCTGGTCTGAGACTGTCACCACGGGAGTTCGAGCGCTTTCAATACCGGGAAGTCATTTTTACTCAAGGTAAGGCAGGTCATTGTCAGAGTTGTACGGATAGTCATTCCTACGATGGAATCAAGCCCATAGTTGCAGACCAGGGTGGCAACCTCCACCTGCTCTTGCCTGCTTCTACTTCGCTAATACGTTACTTACTTCTGTCACGGCTGTGTATACGTACCTTCCATTGCCTGTCTTGCCTACCTTACCGGGGCCCGCCGAGGCCAAGTTACCTATAGATATGGACCAATTAGTAATTATACGGATATAATAAAATAATAAGCAACTATTAGCCTATATACTATCTTTTTCTAATAGTAATGATAACTTAAGGGTCTGGGGGAATATAGCTAATAAGAGCCTAGTATAATTCAGACCCGTCCAGGTACTTTGGCCTATCCCGTTCTGCTCATTTTTAGTTCTATATAATACTATAATTTTAATATATATATTACGTAGCTATAGTACTATGCTATTATATATTATTACTATTATCTCTGTTATTAATATCTACCCCCCTATTTTAATACGGTATAAAAATATAATTTTAACTCTAACTTATTTAATCTTTACTTATATAATACTATATCCCCACCTTAACTTAATATAAATATTTTAATAATATACTCCGTAAGTATATAACGCTTATTAGAGAATCCTATAGTTAAGAGCTATTAATATATGTCACGGGCTGGAGCCCGGTTGAGATCTCCGGCCTTGCCGGAGCCGCACGCACACCCCTTTGCTGGGAAGCTGTCCGACCGCGACCTATAATAACCGATTATTATATTGGATTATTATATTCAGTTATGCTATAGGCCGGAGCCGGTCGAGATGTTCAGCTTTACCGGAGCCACCATTCTGCATTTACGTACGGGCTGTACGTGCGTACAAAGCGTTGTATCTCAGTAGATACATACTTCAGTTGAGACTCTTATTACTATGTAACTTCTTAAGCACGTAACTCCTATGATACCTGTATTTATAAATTATAAATATATCATTAAAATTGTAGAAAATTACTGAGTCTAGATGTATTTATAAAACATCTATAGCCCTTATATTCATCAAGATATTAATATTTGTTTCTTATATTATAGAGTACTAGTTTTAGGGTACTAATTAGGCATAAGTTTTAGAATATTAGTAAATATTCTAAGTTATAGTAGTAGTTATAACGGTGTGGGCCCCACAAGGGCAAATATGGCAGCAAATACAACAAACCATTGCGCTAAATGCGCACCCGGTGTCACGGTAGCAGGCAGGTTGTTTGGCAGGTGGATGCTGGGCAGGCGGATCAGACAATCTATTGCTACGGGCAGGCTCTATCCTAAGCAGGTACAGGCTCTGTTGACAAGACGTAGCTCAAGGAGCTACGTTTCTGGACATGCGCGACAGAATACAGGATGCAGAGTTTTATCCAGCCTCAGGCTTACGTAACCCGGCCACCGGGTTACTCAACACCAACCTCAAGGTTGGGGTCTAGGACAGCGGGTCTGTGACACCCGGGCTTATTCAGCCAAAAGATATGTAATAAATAGATCCCTCTCTGTTCATTCTGCTGCACTTAAGACTTAGAATATTTACTAAAATTTTAAAACTCATACTTAATTAGTACTATAAGAGTTACGTACTTAAGAAGTTACATGGTAATAAGAGGCTCGATGTTACGCCCGCCGCAACTTGTCACTGTGAGCGCGTAGCTACATAACGCAGAACAAGGGAAAATGATGCGGAGTCATCATTATCAAAGCTTTTGCTTTGTGCCACAGTTGGTTGCCTTGACCTGCTCGTAACACTCAACCGAAGTACGTATCTACTGAGATACAACGCTTTGTACGCACGTACAGCCCGTACGTAAATACGCTTTACATATACATGTTAAAGCGCCGACAGGCACATATGCCCGTATAAACTTAACAAATGCTCGGACTTAAGCATCACATGTGATTACATGTGACTACATGTAATATTCCTATATTATATATAGACTATACTTTCCCATCATATCATAGACTAATAATCAATACAATCAATTTTCTGATTATCCCAACTCGTATCTCAACTTATTTACCTTTTCCCTTTTTGCCTACCTCTAACCTCTTAGTTTAAGTACGTATGCACGGCTCGTAAGGCTTACGGCGTAGCCTAAGCCCACACAAGGCTCCAGCCCGTGACAGTAGTAGTAATAAGAAGAGGAGTTTAATAAAGAGTAGTTATAAAAAGAACAATTATAAAATTTAATACCCCTAGCGGCCTAATTATAATTCAGTAAAAAGTCTATAAGCCATATTATTATGTTTCAATAATATATTTTAGTATCATTATTAAGTAATTATATAATTACGCCTAGCTTATAAACTGATATTATTATTATGAGAGCCTTAATTAGTATAAGCGGTACTATTATAGCGTAGGTACTACTATAATCTATTAAATCTACCCTTAGAATAATGTAGATTAAGCACTTAAATTTTTTTTTTTTAAAAATACTCAGGCCTTTTATAAATACAGTTTATAAAAATTGTTTATTAATGTAGGCCAATTATATAGTCCTTATACCTCTCAACCATGCTAAATTTGAGACTAATAGAATTACATATACTTACAAAAGCCTAAATTCTCATTGGTCTATATGAAAAGATTATTACAAACGCAAGAATAATCCTATTTCTAAAAGTAGCTATAACGTAATTATCTAATAACATCTACCGCCTACAAAGGCAACTTAAAAGGTAGTATTCCCACCAAGGTAAGTAAGGTAAGGTAGGTAGTAGGTAGGTACCTAATGTAACTTTTAACGGCCTTAGCGTGACAGGCGGTTCCCTCGGGAGGTTCCGTACCTTGCGCTTTTCCCCCATTCTAGGCTTGGGACCTGACGGGATCTTCGAGGTCCCTTGAGAACCAATCTAGGCCACCCGATCCAGACCTTCACCTACCTAGATGGATAGGTAGACGCCTTTGTATTAGTACGAAGGTAGTTGTGCTAGGTTTATCTCGGGTAAGCAAGCTGAGAAGGCCAAGATCTCGTACCACGGACTCTGTCGAATGGCATACTGCATGCATCGTCCTATCATCATCAGAATGTAGAAGTAACCTTGATTAGCTCTTGACTACACTGGGCAGGTCAAATAGCCGTGACCTTGGATAGCTAGATGCTAAGGATATGGCGACGACCTGAGCAGTGCACACATTCGACCCTTGGATACTCTATCTCGTGTACTTGGGCTTGCCATCACACATCATCCTATGATCAAAACAGGCGAGAATCTCGTTACCTCCAGTTCTACTATAGAAATCAGGGAGGCATTGGCAACCGTGGCGACGAGACACGATGGTCGGGTCCATCTATTCCTAGTGCTTCTTTCATATCTTCCACGTGTTCCTCCACCTCTGTCTTCTCCCCAAGCACTTTTCGATGGTCCCGAGTACCCAGCAACCTCTTTCCTGCTGGTCGAGTTGGCCTCCCAATTCTAAAGTCTGGGAAAGACGGCGATTGTATCACGAGGCCACAGCCGTAACGCAGACCCCAGACATCTCCCCCTGTCAACCAAATTCCCCAGGTTGTAGGAGACGATAGCCTCGATCCACATCGACCGGCTGTGCTGCTGTGGTTGATCCGAATATGAGTGTCCTCACTCGGCATAGCCCTCGAGGGCTCCGGTTATTCGTCATTCTTATAGTGCAGAGAAGACAAATAGCTGTTACGGAGTTAGCCGACTCAACCTCCGCATTCTAGGGATGGAAAGAGTTATCGTGCTGCCAAGAACTTACGTTGTTCGTTGCCGCAATCGCAATGCTATCCTCAAAGGGATGCCAGCTCATATGAAGGATCTTCTTGTTGAAGTCAATCTGGTCGGCATCAGTTTCCTTGCGCATCCTTTGGCCCTGGCCACCGGCTCCAGCAGCAGGACTACCGGCACGGGAACCTCCCTTCTTGCCACCGTTGGTTGCGGTTGGGCTGGTAGACGAATTGATGGGTGTCGGTACGCCAACCTTCTTAGCCTTGAAGGCAGACTTGTCGGCCTGCAGCACCACCTCGACTTCTTTATCAGGGTCTGAAGGATAGATCATGAAATTGTTGTTGTAGCTGCCAGTCATGACATTCTTGGCATCCCCTGAGAAGACAACCTCGAACTTGTCAAAGATGCTGTCATTCTCATATGTATCGCATAACCGAGGACGCAGGTGCTCGTGGATGGGAATCGTCTTAACGGGCTGTCGCTCCATGTTGATATCCCAAATCTTCACCGTCAGGTAGTCGCGAGAGAGAATGTAACGACCGTCGTAGGAGAACCGAACGTCTGAGATCGAGGAGATGATTTCCGAGAAAAACGACCTTGAGGACGGATCTTCCTCTTGCTCGAAGACTGAGTCGATGACAAAAGGTTAGCATCAAAGCAGGCCACACAGGGTTTAGACGGAGAAGCACGGTACGTACGCTTAGCATGGCTATCACAGAGAGCACTCTGGCGCATGTCGGCAAGCTTAATGGTGCCCTTGGAGCTTGCGTACATGAACCAATTGCAGCTCAGAGGGTGGAACTCGGCAGCGGTGATGACCTCGGTCAGCTCCTCCATGTTTGCAGGTTTGATGTCAACAATGTTGAAGCTCTGATCCTGGATATTCAGGTTCCAGAGGTTGATGCGAAGGTCGTCTGAGCTGATGAATGTCTCGCCATCGCTGTTGACGGATATGCTGTTGATGTGATAGGCGTGGGCATTTGCGTACGTTCGGCGAGGTACGGCGGCAACAACGGTGTCATGATGGGTCAGGCGGGGCATGATGAGGTCTTCAGAGTTCTTGAAGCGATGCGCAGGTGACTGCTTGGGGGCACCACCGCCGCCGCCAGCGATGTTTGCGGGAGTCAAGTCATCGGATAGATTGTTCTCCGCGACGACCTTAAGCGACTTTTCGAACACCTTCCAAAGCTTGATCGTCTTGTCGTTTGTTGAGAGCAGATAGTGTGATGCATTCTGTCGACGACACCACTTAATCTTATTGATCTTTTCCTCAATTTCCAGCGACTTCAGATAGTCGAACTCGGGCTCGTGGGACTGGAATTCGGTATGGAACTTGTACTCGCATGTCTTTTTCTGTTCAAGGGCATCAGCATAAGGTCAAGAACAGAGAGTCCGCCCTCCATTTCGGTGCCAGCTAGGCTCACCGTTTCGTTCCGTTCGAACAATACGACCCGGCCGCCTTTGTCTCCCGTCGCAAGGTAGTTACCCGTGTGATCGAACTCGACCGTCGAGATGATATCAGCTGAGAGAAAAGGTTAGATCTACAGACGATAGAGTGGACGGAAGCTGCCATGGTGGCGGATTGCGGGCTGCATCTTACCTTCGGTGATGTCCTCCACATCGCCCTTGTCTCCAAAGCACCTATTGCGTAGCGTAAGCAATTATGCCAGTAAGGGCAGGGCAGTCGAGATGAGGATGAAAAGGAAGACACGGAGCAAAGTAGCAAGAGCACGTACTGGGTGAACTTCCACGTGGGGGAGTTCGTGTCACTGTCCACCATGTTTGCAGACCAGTTCTGTACGGGCTAAGAAATGGACTTGTAGATGTTGATATGGGCGAACAGAAGAGGCGAGGTGGCGGGGTATGTCGAAGACGGACGGAGGGGCGAGCTCTAGTCGTGCGGTAGGAGAGAGAGAGGTTGTCTCTCGGCGCTGGGAATACGTCCAGGGCTGAGATGAGCCACACGAGAGTCGCAGCTGGATAGCGCGAAGAGTGTGGGGTGGTGTTGAGGGTAACTGCGATGATGTGCGCAGGAGAGGAACCTAAAAACACGCAGGCAAAGTGGAGGAGAGCGAGAGGCAATTGCGGACGAAGAGCGACCGAGTGGTTTCTATCTGGTTGGGATGAGGCAGAGATAGATCGGGCGGGTCGTAGTTGACGAGGGGTTGAAAAGGGAGGCCCGTAGCTCGAAGGCTCTGCGGTAAGGAAGGGTAGGTGCGTGAGGTGGTGTTTGGCGTATGCGGGCGTGGGCGTGGGAGTGGGAATGCTCCTGGGATTTGCAAAAAGGCGTATTTCGTCGGATGCAGGGACGGTTGAGTGTTCTGATGACGGCGAAGACCAGAAAGTCAGGTCGGTTGGTCGAGGGCTTGCACGTTGATCGTTTGGAGGGGGGTATCGCGGCGCAGGTTGCGGGCAGGCGAGAGCAGGGTGCAGGCAGAGTGCGCAAGGTCGAGGTTGGGGTGAGAAGGTAAGGTAGGTAGGTAGATAGATAGGTGGGAGTGGTGGAGTGGTGATGGATGGGATAGAAAGAGGTGACGCTAAGGTAGAGAGAGGGTCGATGGATGTTGCGTGGGCTTGATTTGCTTCCAGGTCTTTCAGATTTGCTAAGGTATCCATCCGTACTGTATTCGTACCCCGGCTGACTGACCACTGGCACTGGTAGCAGGATTGGATGGGAGGCGTAAGGTACGAATGCTGCCCTGCCCGGTATGCTGCCCGCCCTGCGCTGGGTTACCTTAGGTAAGGTACACCTACCTACCCTAGGTCACTAGGTACCTTAGAGTATTGCACCCAACCAACCTAACGGGCTCCGACTTGGGGCTGCCCTGGAAGCGGGCAAGAGGGTCAGCACGGGAATTCATGGGAATTGTACGACAATGGGGGACACCTGTGACCTAGGTAAGGTCAACCTGGAATTCAGTGGACAAGTGTTGATGGGACCGGGGAGGGGCAGAGCAGACCTGGAGCAGATTGGCACGATTGGGTTGAAGGCACGGACTCGCCCAGCGAGTTAAGGTACCTTTTACCTTCGCGTCTGATATGCTAGCTTACATAAGGTTGACAAAAGTGTTAACACAACCTTCACTTACTGGCAACTTCAATGTGCTGCTGCCTTAGATAGAGGCACTTGGCGAAGAAAGGCACAGAAGTAAAGGGTTGGGATCCAAAAATTCGACAACAGCAGGGTTCGAACCTGCGCATCCGAAGATAATAGATATCAGAATAACAAATAATTCAAGTCTATCGCCTTGGACCACTCGGCCATGTTGCCTCAATAGTGTATAAGATCATCGTGCCCAAATCGCCCCTCTTGACGGCGGCTCTGAATCTCCGCCCTGAACCTCCCCCACTTGAGTCCCACCGAGTGGAATGGCGAACAATGGGCGGGAGCTTGAAGCTATCAGCTGCGTACGGATACCTACCTTACTACCTACGGAGTACTGCACAACTTTTGAACGGGGCTGACATGTGCAGCCAAGTAGTCCGACCAAATGGAGATTACCGAAGAGACATGAACTGCTTCCGGTCTATTGGCATGCTCAATGCACGTCTCTGTCTACCCTGTGCCTTACGCTGAGTAGGTACCGTTTATCGCCTAGAAGGCAAGGAATGTATCCGCTCTTCAAGCTCAAGGTACGGGGTACCTAACCTTAAGCTTAGATAGGTACCTAGGTAGGTAGCCCATTCCCGGCACACCAACGATACAAGAAGCCGACAGAAAAGGCAGGCATGAACCTCGGTCTATGTCACTCTGCTTCCTGCCATTTCGTCCCCCTTGCACTTGCTCGATCATGTCACCGGCCTTTTGTCTTGCTGATTCCAAGTTGCCTTTCTAAACCCTCAAGCGCCTATCTCACACTTCTTCTTCACTACTCTCAGCATGGTCGAGCAGAATAACCGCGATATCACCCCCGGTCCCAAAGGCAAGGGCAAAGAAGCTTCCGCAGCCCCTCCCTCCGATGCCCATACGGCTCCCGAGGATGAAAGAGCTCTACATCAGCAAAGTGACCGAGATGCACCCCCCAGTTCCTCATTTGCTTCACGCCTCACGGCATCTGCAGCCAGCCTTTCTCGCACCGCTCTAACACCTTCGTCTGCGACCGAAAACATTCGCAATGGAGCTACGAGAGGGAAACATTCACTCGGAACCACCTCCACCTCTGCCCAGGGCTCCGGAAGCTACAGTGATACTGCAATGTATCGTAGCTCAAACAGCTTGAACCCCGGCATCGCCATGGGCTTCAATTCGGCAACGGGTACATCCACCGCCGGTGAACAGCAGTACGACGAATTCATGGACACTCAAGCTCAAGCGGTCTTCGATGACCCCTCCCGACCTCAGAGCTCAGCTGAGGTTCAGGAGAGCAACTCCGGGCCGGTCCTCGTCAGCGAATACAATCAACACATGCCTTTGTCATCAGGCATCAAGTCCGACTTCCAACAACAAGAGGCTAGAGACGGCCAAGGTGTTGTTGAACTACTTAATTCTCTCGATCTGGACGATTTTGACGGAATCGACGATGACCTGCAGACGTATATATCCCCACAAGAAGAATTATCGTTAAAAAGGGCCCTTTTCGACGATAACCATGGAAGACCTACCTCCAATTGGACCCGTCTTCTCGACTTCGAGCCTCAATTCCTCGGCGGAGGCGATCTCACTGAGTTATTGCAGCATTTTGGCGTGGCCGATGTGCAGCAAGCCAGAGCCATGTGGATGGAAAGTTGGAACGATGTGCTTACCAGCTACACGGACGAAGTTTGGGGTGACCTCGGGTCCCTCGCCCGAGAAGCGCACCGAGAAATTGAAGAGGCGCGCGAACATGGGACAGGAGCCACGACAGGCCCCGGCGAGATGCAGGCGCTTCAACGACTCAGACAGATTCTAGCCCATGTTCGAGGCCATTAATCGAAGCGACGAGGGTGCTGTGCAAAAGCTCGCTCTGTGCGTCAAGACCGGGGGCTCGATGGTTTGAGGGCCGGGGTTGCTCTGCCAACTGTCTTTCGCCCAATGACATCATGCGATTGCAACGCTCTTTGGCGTCTTCCCTACCCCCCTCACCCTGCGAAGCCTAGATAGATGCCCAGCCACCTCACCCACCCTGGCGGTCCTTTTGGCCTGGGTAATCCGAGGAAATTCGCATGCATGCAACCCACTCACCAACAGAATGACGGCGGGGCCGGACAGCTCACCTTATTTTCTCACAGTAGTTCGAGTGCAGGGACGAGGAACTGGGCAAAAGCCTTGGCTGTGGCTGACAACCAGCAGATTGACAGCGGGCTGGCTTTGACACTCGTGTAATCCTCCTGTTGGAGCAGCTTTAGAGCGACATACAAGTACCACCGTTTTAGCTCTCTAGCCCATCCTCCCCTCTTCCCACATCCATACCGAATTTGTGGCTAGCCTGTGAGACAACCGCTTGATGCCATCCGCAACGGATACCTGACTATTCAATTCTGGATCGAGGAGGCACCGGCTTCTCTAATACAAAGTTAGCAATAGGCATTCTTCCACCTACGTGCGGCTTGGGCTAGGGAACAGGGACGCTACGTCAACCACAAACCGGGCCTGGCCCGATATATCCGCGAAATCATGAGGTTATCACGATGGACAACACGACTGGCAATACTGGCGGCAACAGAGACGGCTTTCGCCCTGAGCCCAACTCCGACCTCAACCAGCACCAAGGCCATGGTCCCCGCCGCCGCTTACGTGCTCGGCGGTGCGCAGTTACAGCTATTCAGGCGTCAGGATTGCCCGGCTGGCACTTCCAAATGTTCGGATTCGCTAGGGACGTCATTTGATGGAATTTGTTGCGCCACGGGACAGGTGTGCGAACTAGACGCCAACAACCGGCCAGCTTGCTGTCCATCTGGGTATGAATGAACCTCAAGCGTGAATTTTATAATGAGTTAAGGCTTGGCTAACGTGGAGTTGCGCATTGCAGAGCTGTTTGTACCGGCTCAGCTCCGACGACGGCACCGACTGCCACGGCAGTTTCATATGTCCCTAATGCTTACTTTCCATTCCCATACATAGCGACATCACTCGACCGCGGCGAGTGCTCATCAGCCCTCAGCCAATGTTCCCGAAACTACCAGAGTTGCGTCACTCAATTGGACGGCAACGCGGGCTTTGGTGTTACTGTGATAGTTCCCGGCGGGGGTGGAACCACCGTCGCCGCAACCCGGCCGGACGTCGGAACATCGGCGACCCCCATTTGTTCCAGTCTTAGCTCCCAAGCATGCTACGGCTTGTCTAATGACCAGTGTGCTCAATCGACAACGGTGAACGGCGTCGTCATTAACGCCGCAGCACATCCAACAGCGGCCTGCGTGGCTAAACTCGCTGCGGGCTTGGGAATCGCTGTCTTCGGTGCCATGCGATGAACGGCAAGTCAGACGACTATCATTGCAAACAGTTGAATCAACGTCGGGATATGGTCGTTTGCGCAGGCAAAGCGGACTTTTGGAATTTCGTTACCATCACGTTCTTTGTGGTTTTGGTTACTATATGCCTGGATGAGATGGACAGGGTGTACCCCGATACGCTGCCGAAGGTCACCTGGCTATTGAATGCGGCGTTCCGACATCTTTATTAATGTTCTTCTCTATCGTCTTGTACATTGAGTCCAACAAAGCGCCGGATGTTTTGTATCGCGGTGTGGGCCCAAGCCTCGAGGACGTCGCTGAGGACTTCAATCATGCGACTGAAGAAGAAGAGGCTAATGAAGGAGATTCCGGCAATCACGGCAAAACAGACCCAGTACATCTTCGGTGTGTAGTGTTCCACCAGATCGGGTATCTCTACTGAGAAATAGCTGGTCATGAAGGTTATGGGGAGGAAAAAGACGCTCAGCTTGGCTAGTACGGTAGCGCTCCTGCTCAGGCGGGCAGTTGCTTGCGAGTCCCTTTGGGCCGTTAGGTTGAAATACTTTTCAGCAACATCGTAAGCAAAACTATCAATACAATCGGCTCAGGAATGCTCCCCGGAAACCTACCGTGTTTGAAAGTGCGTTCTGCTCGTCCAGGTACTCCTGGATTGTGTTGAGCATCAACAGTTGCAGTCTGTCTCCAAGGCGCTCGAAGCGACTTCTTGCTGACAATGAGATGTTCACCTCACCGGAAATACTGCTAGATAACTCTAGGTGTCCGTATTGACCCTCGCGATAGGCATCCAGCGACCGAGGCCAGCAGATTCGCTTGATGAGGCTTTTGTAGCCCTCAAACAGGTGTTGGAGCTGGCTGAGCTCCTTTCTTAACTTATGCAATGATTCAATAATCTCTCCCGTCTTCACCTTGGTTTTTTTGTTCTTGCTCGTAAGTTAGCCTTCTGCTCATGGTACAGCGTCAGTGATCAGTGACCTACCGGCTTCAAGATCGAATCACTCTACAGCATTAAATGGTATCAGCAGGTATTCTATCCTCGATTGAAAGCCCATGGTTGCTGAGGAGTCCGTCCTCGTTACTTACCAATCGACCCAGCTCATTCTTGGAAGTTTTTAAAACGGGCAGAGCCGACGAATAGTCCTCGAAGAGATAATAGAAGAGATTGCTCGAGCCCTCGCGGGCAGTGTTGCCGTCAAGTTCCGAGCGAGGCATGGCTTGCCGGACCGGTTTCAGCGAGAGAAGCCTTTGCTCGAAATCTTCTACGCCGTGCTTGGAGAGTTGACACAATACGCTGGTCGTGTTGGATCTCATGTTGACGAGTTCCTCCTCGTCTTCGGACGATGGCGTCTCGTGGAAAGACACCACGACGGCTATTGTCGGTTGGTGAGCATGCGTAACAACAATTTCGCAAGAAAGAAACGTACAGTCGGAGCAGAGAGCAAGCCATGACCAGTGTCTAGGCGGCAGTAGACTTGGTTTCTGGTCGGTGATTTGGGACCGTGGACGGGTATGCAGCCAGTTGGCACCGATGCAAAGGACTAGTTCTGTGATCAGCCTGCCTTCTGGCAGTCCTATGGAGTTGCAGCTTGCTGAAAACTCACAGTGATTCCCTTGGTCAATGGAAGTGTAGTTAACCGTCTCCTTCACAAGTTGATAGATCTCAAGCTCCTCCAACACTTGTGCCTGTGTCTGTCCCGGCGGTGGAGGTCCAAGGCCGTCGGACGACGACCCCTTCTCGACATCTCCTCCTTCTCCTCCTCCTTGCGGTGACATCACCGGGGTCGGGTTGGCCTGCTTGAGAGACGACAAGGCCGGAGCCGTCATGATGGCGAGCAGTCTCTTAGAGAACTCGTACTGGGCGCCGATGCACTCCACGGCTGGTTTCTGCATGTTCGGCGACCAGATGTTAATCCAGCGCACCATCCCCTCTTTGCGCTTCCGGATGACGAGGTGACTGAAATCATCAGAGGTTAGATTGAAAGCGATCAAGGCCTCATGGTGGCTAAACTCGACGACAAAGTTGAGAGCCTTGTCGTTGGCAGCCTCGGCTTTGACGCGAGCGTACACGGCCTCATCGTCCAGATTCTGGAACTTGTCGTCCAAGGCGGTGGTGGTGGCAGCGGCGGCGGCGGTGGTGGTTGGTATCGCCATGCCTTCTAGCCCAGTTTGATGGTTTTGCAGATTCGGATTCGTTAGACATGTGAGACTGTGAGAAACATGTGGGATGATGAGGCTCGCGGTGATGCCTTTGAGCTGCCACCATCGGCGATCAAAGTGCTGTACGGATACCTCAGCCCCCTTCGCAGTATGTCGTTGCTGACCCATGTAATAGAGAGAGTGGCAGGGGCAGAACGCTCTCAATTGTCTCACTTGATTCGCTGCAAAGGATCCGCCTATGTTGGTTCGCGGCGGCTATCTGCATATGCGTCGGCGCCTATTTGAGGTTTCAATAACATCCAGCCTGGAATTATGCAACAGGGGTATCAGGGGCTGCGCAACGGCTGCTGAGGCGACTGATTGTTTTCATAAAGAGACATGGTTCGGAAGAGAGTATGCGTGAAATATTTCTGAAAACATGTCGGCTGCCTCTGCCTGCAATTGTGTTCCTCAATGTGGGAGTAGGAGTTGTAAATAGCATCGCCAAGTTGGACGATCAATGCGCTGGCATCCACTCGTCAAGCTGCAGCATCACGTTAATGCCCTAGGTTTCTTTGCAAAGTCACAGATGATATATCGAGACAATGAAAGATGCGTGCATCTACCCTTTTTGTTACTTCGGTTCGTTGATCTATGTTTAGGGGTATCACCGAAGGACTCCTACAGTGCCAGTTGCTCGAATCAACCACACAACAACATATTGGTACATTTTCTGCACATCTCTTCAACGTCAAAGTAACTCTCTCCATCTGCGCGTTTTCTGAGGTAGCTTTCACCAGACACCGCGCCAGATATCTCACTGCTTTCCACAACGCCCGGGTTCTCGCAAATACTTCACTCAACGACTGCCGATGTCAGGAGATCCCGCAACATGTCCAGTGTAGACGCACTGCCTCGCCATCTAGAATCGGACTCTCCAGGCCCCTTCAAGCAGACTTGAAGAAAGTTTCGGGCGATTTTCTCAGCCTCCTCAAGTCGAGCTTCGTCTTCGGCATCTAACCTAGCACACGCTGCCCCAAGGTCTTCATTTCGTGCTAGGAGCAGAACAATCGCCTCGGCTCGCTCAACGACCGCGGTGTCAATGCCATTCAGCGCCGCACACCTGCTCCCAAAGCTTGATGTGCTCCTTCCAGGAACTAGGCGGTAAAGAAAAACAACTTGGTCCTCCATCTGACCCGCGTCGATGTCAAGACGGACCTCCATATGCGCAAGCGATAGCCCTGGTCGCTCCTGAAGATAACCGCCTTCGAATATCTCATGGTAGTGCGTTGTGACCAGAACTTTGGGAGACTGTGAACCGAGATTGCTGAAATGGTCAATGAGGGCAGTCATCAACCCGGCTCCATCGTCAGCTGCCGTTCCTTTGCCAAATTCGTCGATTGCCACGAGTGTTCGACGAGTGGCACAATTCAGCAGAAATGCTACTTGCCTCAAGTCGGTACCGAAGGCACTCTCCGCTTGCGATACACTTTCCCGCGTCGAGATTCGGGTTAAAATTTGGTCCGTGAGACCAACCGTAGCGCCAGTAGCAGGCACGAAGCTGCCTATATGGGCAAGGTAGACAATGAGCGCAACTTGCTTGACATATACGCTTTTTCCCGAATGATTTGGTCCTGTTATAATGAGTGTGCTGGCGTTCATGTCGTTCTCTGGAGGTGATGCCCGTCTTCCGCTTGAGTCATCGCCAGAGCCACCGATGAGATTGCAGTCGTTGAAGATGAAAGCAGGTACTGCCAGCTCTTGAAGGGGGTGGCGTCCTTCGTAGATCGAGACAATGTTGTCTTCTGTCATAGTTGGACATGCCCAGCCATATTTGAGTGCTCCGCTTGCAAGGGCCACAAGGCAGTCAAGCTCACCACAAACCTCAGATATACGACTGAGGATTGCCTCATGTTCGAGGATCTTGCAGGCTAAGCCATGTAAGATATCAACCTCGAGGTCTAGAGAAAGATCAGTAAGGTGGGGGTATATTACCAGTGATACTAGGCCACAAACCAACAATTCTGCTGTAAGTGTCACCGAAGTGACCATCCAACTCCAGCATGAGGTTGTTCTTGAAGTAGACATTGTCATTCGCGGTAAATCTTTGCTCCCAATGATCGCTGGACAGTCCTTGGCCTTCGTAGCCTGCCTTGTTGCCCTCGAGCAAAGGGACGACAGTGAGGAAGCCCAGTTGCGGCCAAAAGACACAGCCGGTGACACATTTGCGAGCCCACGTCGGGAGCTCCAGGGACAACGCTGTGCTAACCTCATTCAACAGGGATTCCAACCCTTGATATGTCTGCTTCAAGTCATCGAGCTCAGCGTTGACGTGCAATCTCACAGCAATGCGTGAGTTTGCTTTGGTTTCCTCGAAATCGACAACATTTCCTATCAAATCAATGATTGCTGTTAGGGCGTCTACAGCGACGGCCTGCACAGTCTTTTAGATAGAATTAGCTTGAGCTTCGGCAGATGAGTTGTTACCATGGCTGACCTTTCGTATGATGTCAAGGCCGTTGGCATTTCGTAGTTGAAGTATGGCGTCTCTGAGCCGCAGCACATGGAGTGAAAAACGAGTCAATGTCCACCAAACACCACGCTCAATTGAAGCACAGCCAGCCGGAGATTCCGCTGCGCCTCTTTGCAACTGAGCCAGAGTTTTCTTGATGTCTGTGACCTTTCGCAATCCTTGGGATATGCTCGCAAATGCCTCTTGATTTCCCGGCTGCAAGAATACTGCTATGGTTTCTTGCCTCTCCCGGATCATGTCGATGTTGACCAGTGGTCGCAAGAAGAGTTGTCTAAGCCTCGCCTTGCCCTGAGGGGTACCGGCGAGCGGATGGAAGAGTCCGAACAGAGATAGGCTCTCTTTCGAACCGGAGGCTGCCTTTCCCGTGCCGGATATCAGGTTGCTCGGGTGTAATTCGGACTGGAATACCTGAAGGGAGGAGAGTGTGTCAGCGTTGACGAACATGAAGTCCGCCAAAGCAAACATCTGTAGCGACAACCCGATGTTTCTCTCTGTATCTTCTGGCGCTCGTCCAACATTCTGGAGTCGCAAAGTCTCGCACAGTACGGCACCGGCACAGCCAATCTAGCGCGTGTTAGAATCACATATCATAATTATGGCATTCTTCATCATAGCTTACTGATATAACGCTCTCTAGATCTACAAAAGACCCGAGACGCATCGTCTTGAATTCTTGACATTCCTCCCGTGCACCTTGTAAGCCATGATTGGAGAAACCGAAGCCGGCATTCGTCACCAGAGCATGTTCTGATGTGGCGATCGGTAAATTCGTTAACCTATCCATGGCAGCAGCGTGACTGAATTCAGTTGAACCGAGAAGCCGTAGAATGTAGTTGTACCTTTCAGATCCTTTGAGAACAATTCATCAACGCTCAAAAACACTGCCCCTATTTCAAGAGATGACTTACCTCGGTCCACAATACTTTGATGCTTCTCGAAGAACTGAAGCACTACATCTGGTACTTTCAGTGGCAACAAGACGGTCGTTGGTTGAATGTGCAGCATGAGCAGTTCGACAAACTGCAACGGTTCGGTACAGGTCATATCTTGCAGGAGAAACAGGCTGTTCTCCTCTGTGCTGTAATAGGCACATCCAAGGACACCTTTCACTTGAACGGAAATGGCCATAAGAACCTCGTTTCTCCGCTCGGCTTGATCTGGTGCTCCTCTACCAAGGAGTGACGGATCCGAGTACTCGCTGGCTGACGGTGGGAAAGGGTTGTGACCATTGCCGGATCCGACTCCAGGGGCAATCGAGGGCAAGAAGTGATTGTCGACCGGTAGTGTCAGTAGACTTCCGGGATCCATGGAGTGGTTTCTGGATTCTGCATCTTCAATGTATCGTATTGCAGATGGCGAATTTTCCTCGAGTGATGGCACACGGGTACCACGAGGGCTCGAGAAGATGGGCGAGGTGTGATGCGGACCAACCACACTAGAAGTACCTCGAGATCCTCGAGATGCACGGGCAGAAGATCCTCTCGAACGACGAGGTGTATATGAGCTCCCTCTTGAGCTGACGTCCGAGCCAGTCCTTGGGTCATCTCGTGGGCCTCCCCGCAAACCACCTCTTAACCCGCCTCTAAAGCTTCCACGGGCGGATCCTCTGCGAGATCGACCACGCCAGGGACTGGACTTGACGCTGCCTCGTCCCGGCATCGTTGGGCAGAGGAGTAAGTGGATGACAACAATAAGACTCCTTGAATCCAGCACGGCGAGGGAGAACAGGGAGCAGTTTGTGTCTTTGAAGGGAAGAACTGATTGACAATCTAAGCGTGATGTATTGTATGGGAAAATCGAAGAACGAGATGAAGAGAAGTCCCGGAAATTCAAGTTTAGGGGAAGGAGGCAGTTTCGAACATACGCAAGTCCAGATATGCATGGCACGAGTTTGCTCGCGGCAGGTTCGGATCATACGCAGCTCCAAGTGCCAGAAACCTGGGCTCACCTCAAATCAAGTCGTGCTTGCCTCGGAGACGCCTGGTAACGCACCTACCTGCCTTACCCATCTCGTGTTTAAGGCGCACCTGACGTACATTAGGTAATTGGCTTGACCAAGCTTTTCGACTGTACTGTAGAAGGCACGACTGAACCGCGGAAGGAGCACCTGCCTTTGCTGACATCTTCCAACGGATTCCCCGTATGCGTAACGGTCCACGCATAGAATATCTTAGGGTACTCCAAGGTAGGTAATTAATCTCGCTGAGGCTAGGTTGCCGTCTACGGAAGTCTTAAAGGGGCACTTCTCTGGTGTGTTGGGGAGCCAGAGGTGCGAAACAGCCTTCTTTTTTCTCGGTTCCTTCTTGGTTCATTTGTCTTTTGATTTTCATTTAGGGTCGACAGACCCACGAGATCTAGATACCTGACCTAGTTCACGAGGAAGGGTATTGACCCATGGTGAACCTAGGTAGGGAGCTGCCCGCGGAGGCCCTTGCGATGGGCACTTTGACCTGGAGATGCATAGCCACGACGGAAACGCGTTGCAGGAATGTTGTTGGATTGACTAAATTCGTTGGTATCGTTGGCCATCCCACAACTCAACCCGACTTGGCCGCAACTCCAGCCTTGTCCCCAGCCTTGACCCAGTTTGTAAAGTCTCGCTTCTGTTTCCGAATGTCGGCAAAGCCAGGCCGGCTCTCGAGGATGCGGAACGGGTTGCCGACGTAGTCCTTCTCCACCTCCCCGCTGCCCGTCAGGAATCCCATCTCGCCCTCTCGCTCAATCTTGCCCGCCCACACGCGCCACTCGATCGGCCGGAGGTTGGGTGCGCCCAAAACCATGCCGAGGACGACGATGAGAGTCGCCACGGCCGCTTCGATCGTTATGTCCGCCGGTAGCGAAGTGGTAGCTGCTGAGGCGGATGTTGCTAGGGGCGAAGCTGCTCGAAAAGATTGCAGAGCGGAGTGCTCTTGGGCAGAGTAGCAGCTGTTGAAAAAAGCAGGTGTTAGATGATTCTGTGGCTAGTTTGAGAGAGCGGGAGCGGGAGCGGGAGAGGAGAGACTCACGCATGGCCGAGGAGGAGGAGGCCAATGGCCGTGATCGAGCGCGAGATCCAGGTCATGATGTGGAAGGATATTCGACGCGAGCCCGTTGATGCAATGATGCAATGACTTGTCAGCTGCCACAGGGTTAACAGCTTGCTCTCATTGAAGGATGTGGAAGAAAATTGCTCTCTTCGAGACAGTCCCGGACTTACCTTATGAAGCTCAAGAGCTCAGTAGGTGGGGTGGGCGAAGGGTGACGTGCGGGATGAGGCAGCTAAGATGGACTCGACGTTGAACTCAATGGCGCCGGGAGCTCTGGCTGTCTGCGTACGTTACTGTGGCCTCGTTAAAGGGATTGGATGTTACTGTGTGGGTCAGATATTGCAAGTACAAGGCTCTCGATAACATACTAAGGCATCGCGATCGCAATATATGGTTTAGTTACATAAAGTCCGGACCTGACGCCTGCAGGGTCTCCCCAACCCCCCTGGCTTGTCGCTTGTGCATCCCGACCTCAAACATATCAACGCCAGGATATGATTGTCATGGCATGAAACCTTTTGCTCACAAAAGATTTTGAATCTCTCTTCGCTCGCAAGTTGCCAGCCATCCCCAGGGTCGGGCCCGAGAAACGGGGCATACGATCGTCACCTCTCCTGGCCAACACCGCTTCGGCTCTGGAGAACGCCGAATTATCGGGAAAGCACTGAAAGCTGGGAACATTAAGTAGGTACTTGTATTTGGAGAGCCTCTAGCTTCGGTGTGGACGCCCTCGATGGGGCAAGTCCTGGGCCTCTCTCTCCTCGCCTTTTCTCCTATTCTCTCTGCATGTTCGTTTCCATAAGGATAACACATTCATCTCCAGTCTCAACAAAACCAAACAGAAATGAGATTTCCGCCTACGTTCTAAGATACCCAATACTCCTGACGCCCTTCCTTTTCTCGGACAATGTACAAACAACAGGAGCGGTTATCGAGCCGCCCTCTTCAAGTCTCCTTCCGCTCACTCTGGTTCTATCCAGCTGTTGGTGAAGTGACTGCTGTCAAGCTCCTCCACTCTCCAGCTACTTTCTGGTCCTCTTAGGATCTGAAGTTGGGGGTCTTGCAGAAGACTTTCTTCGTATCCCATACCGTCAATTAGTTCCTGCCTTCCGTCGCCGAAGTTAAGCGGGTTCGTCCATCGCGGTACAGGTAGCATGTGATTGCCGTACACGTCGCCATACGGATGACCTCCATGGCCCATTAGACCCGGATCAATTATCGGATCGATGCCATCAGGATGCGACATTGGACCGTACTGATCCATGCCGTCGTAGTGGTGGTCCATTGATGGTGCTGCGTAGCCCATCGCTGGTGACGGTGTCTTCCTGATGAGCACGTCTTCAACGAAGCCGGTGGCGTCCTGACGCTGATGGACGCTCTGCTGGTAATATTGGCCGCCGCCAAGCCCATTCTGACTGTATGGTGCTGGGAGAGGCTTTCCCGGGTTGCTGTAATGGTACATGGACTGTGTCTGCACGCCGAGACCCATGGGACTCGTCTGCAGTGGTGGGTAGTTATGGAAGATGGACGGCGGTGCTTCATTCCTGCCGTATCCTTGTTTCCTTACTTGCCTGCTCCTGGAGCTTGCGCGGCTCCCCCTCCATTCCATGTCGTCCATGTCGCCTTGATCCGACTCCTCTTCTTTCGCCTTGGGTCTCGGTTTCGACGGTGTAAACTTGTAGCCCGGGTGAGCAAGCTGGTGGTTCGCACGTTCTTCTTTCGCCCATTCATTAAACTGGTCCCGGATGGGTTCCGGCTCCAAAGGCCAGCCGGCACCGCAGACCTGAGATACAAGCTGATGGTTATTTTGTGTACAGAGGCTTTTGGCGAGATTCTGATACGCCTTGCGGTACAACATGAAGGCGTTCATCGGTCGCTTGACCCGGCCTGGCGTCTTGCTCTCTTCGACCTCCTTCATCCGCACTTCTGAAGAACGTTGGACATAGGCACCAATGTCCGCTACTGGAACATGCGGTTGCTCCTTCGCCAATTCGCTCAGTGGGTTCTTGACGACATCAAACTTTTTGGCCGACTTTGCCCGCTCCTTCTTCTTCTTGGGCGTTGACTTTTCGACACGTGAAGCTCTCGCTGCGAGCGGCTTGATGGTTGTCGACCCCTTGTGGATGTTGAGACCGCTGCGGGTGGTCAACACCTCTTGTGGCCTCGACGGCGTGGGTGGTGATGTGTCAGGGGTGCTGTATGGCTGCAAGAAAGCATGTGAGTGTCTGTTTTTTTCATCAAGAGCAGTAAAAAGTTGCTTACCTGGTGGCTCAGCTCCCCGGACATTGGGGCATATATGGAGCTGACTCTCGTGTCATATCCATGGCTATATGACTGTCGAGACTTGTTAGCAAATGCTGTATTGGCACATGTGAATCTGAGCTCGGGACGAGCTTGCTTACCATCTGACCATCATGTGGGCGATGGGAGTATGGAGAGTGGTGATCGTATTGCATATCTTGTTGTGGACCAGGTGTACCGTATCGAGAAGGAGTTTGCATGCCACCCATATCACTCGGGTACAAGTGCTCTCGGGGGTAGGATGTGGCTCCTTCCGGGCGTATCAAGTGATGCAGTCCGTTTGGGTAGATATCATCGCTTGAGGGAGCAGGGGACGGGGGACCGTTTTGCTCCATTCCTCAAGGCTGGAAGCAGTGAGGAGGGCTGTTGGGATTGTCTGTCGTCGGCTGCTAAACAGTGTTGGCTTACTGGGTAACAAGAAGAGGGCGAAGACGGTGGATTGGGCCGAAAGACGAAGAAGCAGACCAAATGGATTTTGTCAAAGTTGTCTGAATCTCCAGTGTTGCAGATCCGCGGGGGGTCTCTGCTTCTTTTCCCAAATCTAGTAGTTTTGTTTTTGTCTTCACTGGCGGCTGTCTCGGCACTTGTGTATGGATAATGTAGTCGATGGATGATGGGCAAGTGTTGGTCTCCAATGGTAACACAAGGTGAGGCCTGGGTCAGGTGACGGATGTGTATGGCAGCAGACGCAGGCTTCCAGGTGAGTAAAGGCGAGAGGGAAGAAGACAAGTAACGGCAGCAGTGGAGCAGATTGCTTGAAAGAGGCAGCTGCACCCACAGATTATCTACATTCAGTAGATGTCGAGGAGCCGATGGTAGTGTTGGTCAGGGGGTGGTGTGTGCATGAGAAAGAAGAAGAGGGTGAGCCAGGCAGGATGGGTCGGACGGGGGGAGTAAGTAGTAGTCCCCGGTGACAAGAGAGTGGAAGTAGGGCTACAGAGAGATTCAAAGATACAGCTCGTTCCTGAGGGGGTCGGTCTTGTGCTGGTGGTTGTTCAGGAAGTACCTGGAGTCTCTGACTGTGTATTTGTCTCTGATCCGTATGCCTATTGCAGACGCAGCTGCAGCTGCAAGTATGCAGTGAGGTGCGGTGCGGTGTTGCAGGGACCAGGGATGGCCAAGATGGAGGGCGGGTGAACGAGGTTGCAAGCAGCCGAGAAGCAGGGATCAGTGGTGATCTGGAACCGTTCCCCTGGGATATGGGATGCAACCACAATGTCCAACTGACGAAGGCCTGGTGGGCTGGTCAGGGCTGGTCAGGGTCAGGCTTATGAGGGTTGAGAGTATGACGAGAGGCCAAGCGTAGGAAGCTCCATGAATAGCCTGTCTTCTTTCTCTTTGATGATAGCGGGGGAGAGAGAGGCGGTAGAGTGCCGATGCTCTCGGGTGGTATCGTCGGGCTTTCTCTTATCTGCTTTGAGAGTTCTCGTCGTTGTTCAGGCGGTTGTTCGTCTCGTTGTTCCTCGGGGCTTCTCTTGTCTTTCTCTTTCGGTCTCCGGCGCACATTGGCTATTCTTCTGATCCCCGCTCTTCTGGTCCCAAGATAGCAATGTTGGGTGACGATGGTGATGGGTTGCCGCCCCGCGTCTCCTTGCCAGTACGGTTTCTTTCTCTTTCTTTCTTGATCCTTCTGTGGGTGATGGCCCTGGTCATGCACAAGCTGGACGGGAGTACGGCGGTGCTGCAGAGGGGTAGGTGGATAGTCGAAATGGGAATAAGAGGCAAGGATGAGCCGAGTTGAGCTGAGCTGAGATGGTGTATGTGTGTAAGAGAGAGAGCGTGCCAGATGGATATCTGAGGGTCTCAATCCGAATCTGAATCTGAATCTCAAGCGAATAAGAGATCCTGGTCGTGTTCAAAGAAACCCAGAGGCATAAGGAAAAAGCCAAGGGAAGTCGGTCTTTGTCAGGAGGGAGAACCGACGAGAGGATTCATTCATTCAATCCTTTGCAAGAGGGGAGGGGCGAGATGGGGAGTGAAAGAAAAGCGTTCGGCTGGGCTGGGTGGTTTTATGTCTACATGTTACGCATGTGCATCTACGCAAGTTGGGCCTCTGCTTCTTTTGCTCTAGCCTCCCTTCTATGCCGTCGCTGGCTTCTCTGTGTCCGAAAGAGCATCTAGCTGATTGCCGCATTCGGACATGGTAAGGCTGGTACGGCCGCCCGGCGCCGCTTTCAACCCCAAGCCCTCACCACCAAATGGCAACCCATCCGTTGGTGCTGCTGTTCTGTTTGGCCGTCTTCGGTTAAAGCGAGCGAGATAGGACCCCCGCCCCTGCTGATGCCGGGGGACGCTGGTGTCCGGTATCCTGGTGTTCGGTTGAGTATCCATATCGCGAGCTCGGTCATATCGTCTACTGCCATCATAATTCCTCGTGTCGGGTTGTCCCAAGTGGCCAACGCGGCACGGCACCAGTGCCATGCCATGCTCCTGCCATGCTCCTGCAATGTCTGGCTATTGGACATGTATACAAAACTGGTCGACGTTGACGGGGGCGGTAAAGGACGCAAAGACACCAACATGGCGGCAGAGACGATGTGAGAAGCGCGGCGCGGCACAACATTGCTCACCAACAAGCAGCAGGGGATATAAAGACAGGGCGGGCATCGCTGAGGTGGGGAGACTCCTCCCTCCATATGAAGTCTGAGGATGCTTTACTGCCACAATTGCCTGGGCGGTGCTGCATCTAGTGCATTTGCTTCATCTGATGTTGGTAGCAGCGCGGACGTTCAAAAGAAGACGAGACGCACCGCTTCTTCTTGAACTGACGGCATGGCTCCCATCTGAACAGGGATTCATGTCTCGCTCTCTCTCCCCTCAGTCTCCGTCATCTCATCCCATCTTCCCCCACCGGTTCACGCTGATAGCCGGTCAGTTCAAGACCATCATCCATCTCCTAGCAAAGTCAAATGCGAGGGAACTCACTCAAGTTCCAACCTGACTGATGGCCTGTACCCTTGTCTCTCCCCCTTCCTTCTATTTTGTCGTGCCTATTCATACATCATTGAGGTTCCGACAATGTTTACTTGACAGTGCTCCCTCTTCAACCCACCCCTCCCCTTGGCCAAGCCACGCCTGCCCGGATGTCTGTGCACGTGTTCGTCTCTCCCTTCACGGCTGAACATGCCTAATTTTAATCTTTTTGGGGGGTTTTTTTTGCAGGAACAATCCATGATGGAGGGCAGGGCAGGATACATGGCGCAGGAGGTCAGAACAGCATCGCAAGAGAGGCCGAAGCAAGGGAGTCCATGCCACAGCTGGTATCGTGTGAGGCAGAAATTAAGAACAGGATGAGGTGTTGATACAGAACCGCAAGTGACCAGGGTTGGAAGATGCAATGCAAATATCTAAGGTTGGACCGCAAAAAATCAGCAGAATAAACAGGTTGAAGAGCGGCTAGATCTTGTTCCTAGCATCAAGAGTAAAATGATCGGCAACGTGGTGCCCTGGCCCGGAGGAAGAAAAAGCAATGAGAGGATAAAGTTGGGAGTGGGAGACTGGGAGTGTGGGACGCACTGCCCTCCCCTTCCCTCCGGGACTCCACCCAGTTGGCACTTGGCAAGTACCAACGCAGCACGCAACCACGCAACACGGTTTTGGTAGACGAGGCAGGCAGGACCCATGCCGGCATGGAATTGGAATGTTTGTTTGCTCCTTCTGCTGCCGGAAGTGTTGGTGGCGTCACTTCTGATTGGTCTTGTCCAGAAACAGAACGTGGCGCGCATTCCACATCGCTCCTTCTTTGACACTTGCTCGTCGGTCCTTCCTAGGTTCCTGGCACGGTGCGTAGGGATCGGTGCATGTCCGTCTCTCTCTTTCCCATCTCGTTGCGGGCAAGTACTTACCATAAGGTAGGTAAGGTAGGTGCCTGCCTTACCTTACCTTACCTTACCCTAAGGTACCTACCTACCTACCTTACGATATCTGTTGGTGTTCGTCCCATCCTTCCGGCTCATTTCGTCTCTTACCTTTTACCTTGCCTTGAGTAGTCTGTCGTTCATCAGAAGCAGAACTGATGGAACTCTCTGCCTCTTTCTCCTCACCCTACCCTCAAAAGTACCATATCTCGCAACCCGAGCCAGAGCCAACGTTCATACCGCTATCTTCCAGGGACTAACATTCTCACTCTGTTCCTTCGCTTCATCACAAACACGCAGCCTCGGTATCTGCATCGTCAACCGTGCCCTTGCATCAGAACCAGGCCTCACCATTTCGGGCCAGACCAGCAGACAACCACAACCGTCCAGCTGGTAAATGAAAATTACGGAGTACTTTCCAACAGACAACACACGCCCTCTACCCCACCGACGTCGGAAGCCTGGCCTGGGTCAATTAGGCACCGTGGGCACTTGTCATTGCGCAGCAATTTGTTTCTCGTTGTTTCCCATTCAAACCCACATCAATAGGAAACCGTCGCAAATCATCCCCACAGTGTCCAGGGTCCGCCAGACACCCATGGCACCCAACGCGCGCAGCAGAAACCGGCATCTGAATCTCATCTTTGACTATTATGCATGGACCTGTTCAATACCTTACCTTACATAGCGCATCGTTCCAAGTCATCCCTATGGACACACCTCCACTCAGCAGATATTGTTTGGATTCTCCCGAATTCTGCTACGATATCCAACGGCCTTACTCGGCCTAGGCCAACATTAAAAAACATCAGGACATTCTGGTCTTGGGTCCAAGACTGAGGTCAGCCCAAGGTACCTACGGTGTTAGATTCAACCGGACAGAGAAGAAGTTCCGGTCCATAAGCTTCGTATATTTCGGCTAGCCCGTTGTCTTCCGAAGGATGCCGCCTTCTGCAGTGTGCGGGAGAGCTACCGCGCTCTCTCTCAGTCAGCCTCTGACCCGAGGTGCTACCTGCTAAGGTCGCCGACCTTTTCTGGCCTGTGGACTCTAGTTCAGCTTCTCCATCGTCGTCGATCTTAGCCATGCCGCCATGCTTCCGGACGCCGCAAGAGACTCTGCCCGGTCGTCTGTCATCCGAGCTACTCGCCCGTCATCCTGCGCTTGCGGCTTACGCCTGCAAGCTACTTTGCGCCATGTCTTCGTCCGTGCCTCTTGGCTCCAGATCTGGCCCTAGAGCTGGCTCAGAAAATCCCCTAGTCTGCGTCTTAGTGTCACGTTCTGACTCTTGACGGCGGCCCATCTCACCTCTTTTTCGCTCTCTTCTCCACATACGCAGGCACTGGCCGGCCGCACTGCAGGCACACAGGAACGGCACCGACGGTGGGATGGTGGGATGGCATGGCAAGGCAGACTGCTGCATCCTCAGGCTCCATGTCGATCCGAACGGAACGCATCCAATGACATCCAACAATTCCAGCCTCTAGCCTCCTCCTGGTCAAATCTACAAAGTTACAAACTTCACCAACACACTCCAACTCCCAGACTCCCGTTGGCCCCTGCTCTATGGACCTCTCCTCCAGACTCCCACAGGCTACCGGATGCCGCCGCATGCATCTGCGCATTCACTCGTTTTCCATTCATGCAAGGCACCTGTTCTTGCAGGAGCCATGCATCACTAGGCTGCTGTAACGGCCCCCCCGGCCGGTCCTTAACTCCTCGTCAGTATCCATAGGATTAGGAGTTGAGAATCAGACACTTTGGCACGTTTGGGAAGAGATGTCTGGACCCTGGACACATGTCGCCGCCGCCGCCGCCGCTGTCGCCGTCACCTCCGCCATGCCCGCTAGTTGATATCCGTATCGGCGTTTACCTCAGGTCCAACGCGACTCGCGTTCATCTTGGCATCAAGTTGGCTTGCCGCTCATGTCTCCCGGCCCCAATGTAGCCCGCGGCCGTCTCCATTCGCCTCCCCACCTTTCCGCATGTGCATGCATGGCAGCATGGGCACGCATATGGCAGACGTGCAGCCCTCCTCTCGTCCTTTTCTCTAAATCTGATTGCTTATATGATCATGCTCAGGTCGTGCAGCCGAAAGCCATGCGGTGAGGTTGCGCCGAGATGCAAACCCGCTTTCGACTGCCTCCCTTGAACACAACGTCAAGGACGCCGTTGCTCTGCGACCCGAGAATGGCACCGCGCCATCTCCGGTGACAACATTGGTGACGGCCGGATATGGCCCGTCGTGGTTCCGTAGGCACGGAGGAAAACACGCCGGTGCTGGTGGTATCGACCACCACAGGTCAACAGTCGTCTGCAATCTCAACAGCCCGAGACATCCCTCGAGACCAACGGGAAAAAGACGTCAAGGATTTGTGCCAGTTCAGGCCAGGCAAATACAACCGAGATCCACCCTGGCTCTGTGTATCCTCGTGTGCCCGTCTTCCCCGTCTTCCCCGTGCAAGACATAAGCGAATCGCTATATAGGTTGCCGCTCAAACCATCGCCCGAGCCTGTCTCGAAGCTTAGGCCATCGATTCGTTGATTGTGCGGCTGGAGGTGGTTTCTTACTTTGACTTTTCACCTCTTGTATTTCGGGCACAGGGCTGGCTGGTGGGACATGCAGTGCGGGCATTCTAGATGCGGCCCTATGAGAAAATTATCGCGGCCGGCCTCTGATACAGTGGACCTGTTCTCTCTGCAGAGACGGTCATTTCTGAGACATGCGGTGGCATATCCAGGCCGTATGGGCCCAAGGTACATACAAACAGATCTCACGAATAGTTATCATATACCGTGCTCGCAAAGCCTCTCTGACCTGGAACACGATCAGTTTCCTGCACCAAGCACTTATTGCCATACGCACATCCTTAAAGGAGCCCGGATAATATACCTAAACCTGAAATTTGATCTCATGCACAGCAAGAGCAAAGTTTCCCATCATTTTGTCGCCAGCGTAAACGACCTAGATCATCTTCATATGAGCCCGTGTTTAGAAATCTTCTACTCGTTACTACCTGAGGTATTCTATGAAGTCGTTCGTCATACAAGTGTTATCCATACACATCCAAACAGCCAACTCATGTCCATTCTGTGGAAGGGCCGTAACAGTTCAACCACCAGGCAGAGTCCGTGACACAGCTCCTGTAATTCTTACAAAGGAGTAGTTCCGCGTGTCCATTGAAACGGCCGTGTCGTATGACTGCCTCGGACTCCTCGTCTCGTTTCAAAGCGCACTTGGGCTTGCACCTGGAGGCTGTGGCCGTCGCACAGGCTCCACAGGCTTGATAGGGGGCGTCAAAATCTGCTGACGTGGAGATGGCGACAACGTCGCCACAGGCGGCAAGACGGAAGGGAGGGCAGGCGTTTTGATGCTTGGGGGTTGCGGACGGGGCATGGGGGGAGAATGCTTGGTCGGAGAGAGTCCGCCTTCAGGGGCGGGCAGTGTGAATGATGAATGTGCTGAGCCCGGGATGCCATGCTCGCGACTGATAATGGGCGTGGCTTGCAGACTGGAGTTTCCATGTCTGGGCGATGAGAGGTCCCGCGGAGCTGGCGTTGTTCTAGCTCGCGGTGGGCTTGCAGACAAACGGTCGTTACCGTTCGCCAAGGATTTGCCAGCACCCTCGCGGTGAGCTCGGCTATCATCAGCTTCATCATTCTCGGCCTTGGGTGTTTTTGGTTCCGGGCTGTTCTCCTTGGCTCCATCTGTCCGACGAGGTTGGGTCGGTGATACAGAGCGGCGGCTAATGAACGCAGACTTTGATGGTGCCCCAGTCTCTTGTCCGAGCACCGGTTCCTTCTCCATTAGAACCGACTCATGCCCTGTCGATGAGATATCATTCGTCTTCGATATATCGGAAGTATTTCCCACTGCTTGCCCTGTCGAGCTTGGCTCGTGGTTGCTCTCCTTGGACGGCTGCTTGGCGGGAGAGGAAGATGCATCAGCTGGGCGGTTGACCTTGAGCTTGATAGTCGTCTTTGGTTTTGCCGCGGCTTCTTCCTCCCGCCGCTTGCACGACTGGCAGACGAAATGAAACTCAGGCTTCTCGGCTTCGGTCTCACTGATGCCGAGGCATTTGCTGTGCTGCCAGACGTTGCACTTTTCGCACGCCACACTATGTGTACCATCGTCAACCTGACCATAGACGCCGCAGATGCAATCGAAGATCCAGTCTTCCTCCTCGTCTTCAAGCTCCTCCAGTGCTCGCTTGTTCTTCTCTATCTCGGCTTGCAGCCGTCGCTCTGAGATACGACCCGAGCCACTGCGATTGTCCTCTGAGAGTTGGGAGAGTTCCCGTTCATGTTGTAAGCGGCGAGCCTCCCGTTCCTTCAGTCGGTTTTCTCGGGATACCAGTCTCAGGTCCCGCTCTTTCTCGATCTTGAGTTGTTGTTGCTCTTGTTTCCTTGCTGCAGCTCGTTGGACTTGCATCACCTTGGCTTCTTCCTGGGCCTTCTCATCTTGCTTCTGCTGCTCTGCCTTATTTGCGATACGGCTGGAGCGCTTCGCATTTGCCATTTTAGCAAGATTCAACAACTCTCTCTCTCGCTGCTGCTCTTTGCGTTTCCTCGACTCCTCTTGCTTCTCCAGGATAGGAAGTAAATGCTCTTGCAATTGGTCTCGCAAGATCTTCTCGTTGTCGTCCTTGGTTTTGTGGAAAGACGCAATGATGTCTTGTACATCTTCCAGGCTGACGGCAAGGCATTCCCATTTCATGTTGCCGAGGCCGGTGTCCTCGGTTGTATCAGCAGACGTATCGGCTGGTTCATTTACAGACTGGTCCGCATCGTCTGCGCCGTTTGGTGCAGAGAGGCGTCGTCTCTTGTTTGAGCGGGATCCGTATTTCGCAGCTTTGGGCTTCTTCTTGGGGGTAGGTGGGCTTGGCGGTTCAGTCATTCGATAGACTCTGTTGTCGTCGAGAACAAAATACGTCCGGTCGTCTTTATCCCAGCCAATAGGCTCTATCCGCTGTCCGAACCTGTTAGAATGCCACAGCATGATAGAAGGATACCCGAGTACTCACCCAACTAGCTTGATCAATGTCCTTTTGTTCTTCCATCTTCTCCCTGACGCGCTCGGGGCGAGCCATGACCCATTGTGTCATTTGTTGAAGAACTTGTACCTGCGTTTGGGTTAGACAAACTACACTGACCTATAGATCAAGCATGCATTTACCTTAGTCAAGACATCGAAGTCTGTGAACTTGGCTGCGATTTCTTCTGTGCCAAAGGGGTTCTTCTCGGGCGACCTTGCCAAGTATTGCCTTCGCGTGTACTCGTCAAAGAGCTCGTGACTATGACACATTAACATCGGAAAGCCCCCCATGCGACAAATAACAATAAGGCTGGATAACATACGTGAGGCCACGATGCGACGAAACGAACTTGAGTAGGGCGAGCCCGATATCCTGGAGGACAGGAGCATTCGGCTTCAGGCATTCGGTCTCGATATCCTAGAAGCGAGCAGTCAGTGAACGGTAGCTCCCGTGGAATATCGTGAATTAGGGCATAGAGTCGCATACCTCTGTATCTAGGCTGTCATCAATCTTGACGACCTTGCCAAAGAGATAGATCCACTGGCACAGGTTTGCGAAGTGCCATTGATTCCGCAAGCGAAGGAGCAGAGAGTCTTCTTCTTTCGAGCCATTCTCGGCCTCTTGCAGTGTCCTTTTACGAGACGACACCATGGTTGTGCTTGCGTCCTGCGTTGATGCGCCAAGGTAGTCAAAAGAGGAATCGATGCAGCAAAATTGTGGTGAAACAGCCCGGCCTGGTGTTGCTCAGAAAGCTTGCTGGAAACGTCGTGGGTATAGCTCAAGACTGTCGCGTCATTGATACGATGTCGACGCGCGGTGAAGCGCCGATGAGTGAAGGTCTCGCAGGTATGTTCGGATTAGAGGGAGTAGGTCCGCCGTCGATCAATCGAGATAGGTCTGCGGGTCAACTGTATGGAAGGGATCGTGAGACGATGACGAGGGGTTGATATTATAGGTCAACAGTAGAACTAATCGGGGGAGAAAAAAATCGACGTGGAAATTTGACTGAAACGAAACGGAAGTTGAATGCTGGGGGCGTCGTTCAGCACCTAAGGGAAAAATAACGGTAAGGCGAGGCAAAAGACACGGGATGAAGTCGAGTGGATGCAATCAAATTACCTTACTTTCTGGCGTGGATGGTCTGTGGCTCCGAACGTCAGTGCTACTCGATCTTGTCTGGTCTGGACGCGTTTGGGCCGCGGCGTATCTATGGTACAGGCGCGTGTAGGCGCCTGCCCGACGGGTGGCATGGAAAATGGGTCCAAGCTTATGCGTGCTGACGGGCAGGGGCCAGCGCTGAATGGAACCTTGCCCACGCTTGCTCAGCCTTACCTAAGGCACAGTTACATAATACACCCACGGAGGGCGGAACGGGGTAGGACGGAGGGGCAGGACGGAGGTAGAAGACGAGCCGGCCGGTGGTGTTCGGGAGGGAGTGGATCCTCCGGGAGCACGACACTTTTGGTCTTCCCTCTTCTCTAGACTTTCCTTCCAGGCTCCCCGGACAATCCTCAAGGTTCCCTCGGGTCTTGGCAATTATCCCTGCTGTACTCGAATGCCTATGGTGGGCGCGAAAAAGAAAAAATCCCACCGCTCCACGGTCATTTGTGTACTTGCGTCCTGTGACTGTATCACAGTATTTACAAACGGTGTCTTCCGGTGTTGATATTCATTGCTTGCACTCAGATCAAGGCTGATGGCGATGGGGATATTTGGGACCTTACCACGAGATTACGTAGGCATACTCCACAGCGTCGGCTGGACGGAGCCGACAGGAGCTGGGCACTGGGCACCTTGCCTGGCTCTGAGAATGGAAGTAGAACTTGAGTATCCGTACTCCGTACAAGTTTCCCCCAACACCATAGTACTAGGTCATTGACTGGCTCTTTCAAAAAGGGCTAGAGTGTGCAGTTTGATGGCCTACGTGCCTACCGCAGTAAGGCACTTATTTACATTACAGTACGACTAAGGTAGAGAGGGCATATTCGTACGAGCTTGCGGAATGCCGTTAATGCGCGTGCCGTTCTTCCACAGGCTGCCGTCTCATCCCCGTCCCATCGTCTCAGTCGGAAGTCTACGTAGGAAGAGCCGGGTGCCGCATTAGACCCTAGGTAGGAATAGGAAGTAGGAAGCCCAGTAGGACTTCGTATCCTCTGCATGAGCCCTGCAGCAAGTAAGGTTCCAGGGGCTCACCTCACAAACCTGGCAGTTTCGAGACGGGCTGAATGGGACGGTGAAACACGCCCACATCTGAATACACACTGTGTCGGTACTTTCTCGGCCCCTGACGGCGCCCCGTGTTCTCGGAACCCGAATCAACCTGGAAGACTCTGCCACTGCCCACCTCCTTACCCTGCCAAGTGCTTGGGTACTGCTAGTGCCTACGAATCTCAACGGTTAGATAAGTACCTACCATTCCAGTGGCCTAGTGGGAGTAGGTCCCTGCCGCGCCAGCCGTCTTGGGGAACACGACGAGCTGAGAATAGAAATCCCATTCCCGTCTCCAGCAGCCCGCCTTGTGGGGGCATCAGTGACAAGTATCCTTACAGTGCTTTCGACTCTAGCCACTGAATCTGCCATGGACAAGGTGCCTTAGTCAGCCTATGCCTCTGTCTCCTTCACTCCATCACCTCGTCGGGGACTTCAATACGAAGAAACAATTGACAGCATTGGTATTATTCCGTCGCTCTTTTCCTCCCTCGTACAACGGCCGCGGACCACAGGACGAAATCGCAAACGCATTGCCCCGCCCGCGACGGAAACACAGAGTCCACACTACCAGATTGGTGGCGTTCGAAAACACGACACCAAACCCTCTTTACAGGCACCCAAACTTCGACTCTACGACCGACGCTCTGCTTGCTTACCGGGGGCTATTCATATTCCCACGCAACGGGGCTACGAGACTTCCGAGAATTACGATTCAATCCGTTTCGATCCGATACACGACCGAAAGAACTGTCGTGCGCGACGCTTTTCCGTACTACGACATGTTCGTGATCTTGCACTGGCAATAGTTCTGGACATGCGACCCATGGGCTTGGCTACCCTTCGACCGGCACACAGAGACAGCCACGCATGCTTCTCGCGCACAACGGCATTAGCTGTTTGTCAACCAGCGGGCCCACTTCATTGATAGGACCAAGAGCAGCGATCCAGGCGCAAACCGAAGCCATCTGCTTTCGATGCAAAGCAACAACCCATACTCCTACGAGATGAGCTCGCGACAAGACGAGTCCTCGGGCTCCGGCAGGGAGGGTCTGCAGGCAGACTCCCAAGCCGAATCCCAGCGCGGCCGTCAGGGCCAACCGCAAATGTCTGCAAATGGCCTCGGTCTTTCAACATACTGGGAACAGCCCTATGCTCAGTCCAATAGCTCCGGAGGCCCTGACTCCCCCATCGATGCTTCAGCACTACAATTCGCCCTACCGCCTGATATCAATCAGCCTCCCCCATTTCCCCGACTAAACTCGCCATCTCTCGACTCCCTCGACCGACCGTCGCCGTACTTCGATGAGGCTACAAACCCCGATTACTATGAGGATAGGGTTCCTCTTACATCCAGGGCCCAGCCCATTTCCGGCTCATTAAGCGCAAATATGGGTGATGCTCAGCCGAGAGATAGTTTTCAGACAGTATCTGACATCGACAATGCGCCACCAAGGACACGGGATGCAAGATCGCTGGGATGCGACTTGGAACCTGGTGGCAGACGACCAAGTTATGGAGCGACGCTCAGTCCGGGAGGGGAGCAACGGCGCTCTCGTTCGCCCTCTACTACCGGTGCCCTCCTCAGAGCGGGCTCCATCATGAGGGCCATGTCTCAGCGCGTTGTCAATATCAGTGGTGAAGGTGAACTCGTGGACCATAGGACATCTCGAAGTCGATCTCCGTCACCGGCTCCGGACCGCCGCCAGCAGCTACACAACTCTGCTCAGATGTTCACAGATACCTCCTACCATTCCCAGGTACCTGAGAAGGGCCCTGAAGCGGAAAATGTCTTCGCTGACCCTCCTCCGCCCATGCAACAACGAATTCCAATGCAGAATCCTTTAAAAGGAAAGTCATTGGGCATCTTCCCTCCCACCCACCCAATCAGGACGAAGCTATGCGATCTGCTGGTGCACCCATTTACTGAGCCCTTCATTCTCATACTCATCGTCCTTCAAGCTACTCTCCTGACCGTGGAATCGGCTCCAGATGTCTTCAAAAACCCGCGGCCTGCCGCATGGGGAGTCACTTGGATTGATTGGGCGATACTGGTGCTGTTCATCATCTTCACACTCGAGTTGATCGCGCGTATCTTGGTATCCGGCTTCCTCCTAAATGCTTCTGAATACAGCACCATCGATCGCCAAAAAGGAGTCCGGGCCGCAGTTGTCGATCAGTACAGAAATTTGTTCCAGCCTCAGCGTCAAAAATCTGTCAAGGGTCCGCGACAACAAATCCACCTCGGCCCCTCAGCCTTCCAGCGATCCTTCACAATTATGCAGGGTCAGACGCTACCACAAACTGTCGAGGAACAGCAGAGGTATCAACTTGCCCGACGAGCATTCTTGCGGCACTCATTTCACCGGCTTGACTTCCTCGCTGTTGTTGCCTACTGGATCTCTTTTGCGCTTAGAATCACTGGCGTCGAAAGTGAGAAGCATCTCTACGTGTTCAGGATGATTTCATGTTTACGTATCTTGAGACTGCTCGCTTTGACGAACGGCACAGCGGTTAGTAATCCCGTCATACCCCTTAATAAGTCTGCCACTAATTGCATATCTAGATTATCCTCCGAAGTCTGAAAAAAGCTGCGCCGCTGCTTGTCCGAGTCGCCTTCCTCATCTCATTCTTCTGGGTATTGTTTGCCATCATTGGAGTGCAAAGCTTCAAGGCTAGCCTGAGTCGGCAATGTGTCTGGCTTGACCCAACAGACCCGACCAACAAGGAGAAATCTTTCACAAACGATATGCAGTTCTGTGGAGGATTCCTCAATAGCACTACTGGGGAAAGCATGCCGTGGGTCATGATGGGAACTGATGGTGTCCTGGACAACTTCAGAAACGGCAGCAAGGCCGGGAAAGGCTTCCTTTGCCCTCGTGGCTCGATCTGTCTTCAACAAGACAACCCATACAACGGCACAGTGAGCTTCGACAACATTGCTCAATCACTAGAAATGGTGTTTGTTATCATCAGTTCCAACACCTTCTCCGACGTCATGTACTACACAACCAACTCCGATTACCTTCCCGCGGCCCTCTTCTTCGGCGCCGGCATTATGATCCTTATGCTGTGGCTCGTCAATTTGCTTATTGCGGTCATCACCTCTTCTTTCCAGGTCATCCGAGAGGAAAGCAGGGCGAGTGCATTCACAGCACCCGAAGAGCTACCGGCTCCGGAGCCTATGGACGAGCCGACTCAGAAGGTGCCTGCTCTGCAGCGAATCTACGACAAGACCTTCCTGCTTTGGATTGCAGTTATTGCTTTTGGCCTCATGGCTCAGTGCTTCAGGAGTTCCAAGATGTCTCCTGAACGTGGGCGGTTTATTAATTCGGTTGAAGTTGCTGTCACCATCCTGCTGGACATTGAAATCATCATTCGTTGTGCCGCAGGCTGGCGCTCTTTCTACAAGAGCAAGCGTAACCTCATTGATGCGGGCCTCGCTATTATCACAACCATCATTCTGATACCGCCAATTCGGAATTCTGGAGAGACTTACGCCTGGCTGACGGTCTTCCAAATTGTACGAGTCTACCGACTTGTCTTGGCTGTGCCAATGACCCGAAAACTCATTGTTATGGTTCTCGGAAACTCGAACGGTATCGCCAATCTGATGTTGTTCGTCTTCTTAATCACCTTTCTTATGGCGATTTTGGCAGCTCAGCTGTTCAGAGGCGAGATACCAAGACACAGCCATAGTGGCGACCTCAACGAGGTCTCTTTCTTCACTGTCTACAACTCCTTCCTGGGCATGTACCAGATCTTGTCGAGTGAAAATTGGACCTCCATGCTGTACAACGTCACGTCTTACATGAATGAGCACGACACGGGCTGGATCGGCGCAGTTTTCCTGATCGGCTGGTTTATCTTATCCTTCTTGATTCTCGTCAATATGTTCATTGCTGTCATTCAAGAGAATTTTGACGTTTCTGAGGATGAGAAACGCCTCGAGCAGGTCAAGGCCTTTCTCCAAAGAAAAGAATTGGGCAAATCAGCTGGCAACCTCACTCTGTCGAACATTTTTACTTTCGGCAAGGCCAGACGGAGAAAGGATCCTCTGGACTATGGCCCAGCCATGATGGAAATGCTTCTCAAAGACGCCGTAGTGCACGAATTCCTCGACGATGCTGCAGAAGTGCCGCAGGACACACCCAATGAAGAACGTTCGCCTACAAGGGCTCAAACGCACCACGTTGGTGAGATCCGGCCTGGTTTTCTATCTTCAATGTGGGGGAAGTTCAAGTCTTCATTCAGCAGCAAAGATCCGAATCCGTTCTACTCGAACCTACGGTTTGATGGTCCCAATGACACTCTTGATCCACGACAAATGGCACGGCAGGCAGTTTCTGCCACTTCAGCACGCAAGAAAGCCCAGCGCGACTATCTTGCGAGACACCCCAATTACAATAACTCCCTATTCGTATTTACGCCCAACAACCCTATCCGGCGGTTCTGTCAAAGGATCGTTGGCCCTGGCCGAGGAAATGAAAGATTCGAAGGTGTCGAGCCCAATAAGATTGCTTGGTATACTTCTTCAGCTTTCATATACGCATGTATCGTTGCAATGGTCGTAATTGCTTGCGTCACGACACCGCTATACCAGAAGCAGTATCAAGCAGAGCACCCCGAGTTCAGCATCACTTTTTGGTATGTCTGGACGGACTTGGCATTTGCCACAGTCTTTTCGGTTGAGGCTGTAATCAAAGTCGTTGCTGATGGCTTTTTCTTCACGCCGAACGCCTACTACCGGAGCTCTTGGGGATTCATCGATGGCATAGTGCTCATCACCCTGCTCATCAATGTTGGTACACTGCTAGCCAACGATGGCGCCGTTTCCAGAGCCATTGGTGCCTTTAAGGCTCTTCGTGCTCTGCGTCTACTCAATGTCAGCGACAGTGCCAGGGATACTTTCCACTCACTCATTGTAGTTGGCGGCTGGAAGATTCTTAGTGTAAGCTTGACCTCCATACCCATAAGCAATCTTTTTCTCACTAATTCAACAGGCTGCATTCGTGTCCATCTCCCTGCTAATCCCCTTTGCCATTTACGGACTCAATATCTTCAACGGCCAGATGGTCAAATGCAATGACGGACATAACTCGATCACGCTAATTTCCGATTGTTTTGGCGAATTCAACAACACACCATTCAATGACGATTGGCCCATGTTGGCGCCACGTGTTCCCTCTAATGACTATTTCAGCTTTGATGATTTTGCAGCGTCATTGTTTGTCCTCTTCCAAATCGTCAGTCAGGAGGGTTGGACCGATGTCATGTTCGCAGCACAGGCAGTCACTGGGCTCGGTAACCAGCCCAAAGACCTCAACCGTCAGGGCAATGCCATGTTCTTTGTTGTCTTCAACCTGCTGGCCACAGTCTTCGTTCTCACGCTGTTCATTTCAGTTTTCATGCGCAACTACACGGAACAGACCGGAGTTGCGTTTTTGACAGCTGAGCAGCGGTCTTGGCTTGAACTGCGAAAGCTGTTACGTCAGATTTCTCCATCCAAGAGCTCATACAACGAATCAGAGAAAACTTGGAAGAAGTGGTGTCACAAACGCGCCATAGAGAAAAGGGGCAAATGGTATACAGCCGTCACCTACGTCCTAATCTGCCATCTCCTGCTGCTTCTGCTCGAGTATCACGGCGAACCACAATGGTGGACAGACTCTCGCGATGGGTTGTTTTTGGCATTCACGCTAGTTTACATGGCCAACATCGCCATACGGATCATTGGTCTTGGCTGGGCCCGGTTCCGGAGGAGCTCGTGGGACTTATACTCGCTAGTGGTCGTCACCGGCGCGTTTGTCTCTACATCTGTGCTCATCATCAGCAGAAACAGCGACACTTACGTGCAGCTCCACAAGTTCTTCCTTGTGGCCATCCTCCTACTCCTTATTCCGCGGAACGATGCTCTCGACCAGCTCTTCAAGACAGCTGCTGCAAGTTTAACGACAATCGGAAACTTGCTCGCTACCTGGCTTGTGTTCTTCCTCGTTTTCGCCATTGCTCTGACACAGGCATTCAGTCTGACGCGCTTTGGCGAGAACGAAGAAGCCAACATCAACTTCCGCAGTGTCCCCAACGCCCTAATTCTTCTTTTCCGAATGAGTTGTGGTGAAGGCTGGAATCAGGTCATGGAAGACTATGCAACTATCGAGCCACCGCTTTGCGTTGACAACGCCGACTTCTTTGACAGTGATTGCGGCAGCAAACCCTGGGCTCGTTTCCTCTTCGTTGCATGGAACATCTTGAGCATGTACATCTTTGTCAACCTTTTTGTTTCTCTCATTTATGAGAGCTTCAGTTACGTATACCAACGGTCTAGCGGATTGGCTGCGGTAGACCGTGATGAGATCCGGCGCTTCAAGGAGGCGTGGCGGAGCATCGATCCCGCCGGTACCGGCTTCATCAGCAAGGATGTCTTCCCCCGACTTCTCGGAGAGCTCTCTGGAGTGTTCGAAATGCGCATTTACGATGCCGACGACTCGGTTAGACAGATCCTGGAGGATGTTCGCAACGATGCTGCAACATCTGGAGCACGCCACATGTCTATTGCTTCTGCAAGCAACTACAGTGCGGGCATCGACATCCACCGACTCAATGAGAGACTGGCGCAGATTGACGTTGTCAAGGTTCGCGAGCGTCGTCGTCGGTTCAACATCTTTTTCGAGGAAGTCATGGTCTCTGCGGACCCTGACAAAGGCATTTCGTTTACTTCTGTGCTCATGATCCTGGCCCACTACAACATCATCAACGACAGCAAGAGTTTGAAGTAGGTTTTCCCGCACTAAGCCTGGCCACCGATCATACTAACACATTCTGCAGACTGGAAGAATTCTTGCGAAGGCGTGCTCGATTACAGAGAGTGGAGGAGGAGGTGCGCCGCAGGGTCGTACTTGGCTTCTTTGACACCTTGTGAGTCTCTCTGGTAATCGCTGACTATGGAGTCCCATAACTAACGACATCATATTCAGGTACTGGACTCGCAAGTTTAAGAAGCACATTGACATGAGAAAGTCGGCGAGGATGACTGCTATTCCTCAGCTCGACATTCCCCATATCCTTGTTGACGATGATGACACACGACACAAGTCCTCGCCGGTGGCAGGAACCGGACAAACGAGGTCAGCCTTGCTGACAGTGGAAGACGCCCATAAATCGGCACACAATAGCTGGTCCGGACCGGGGCCGACAGACACGTCTGACGGCGACTATCAACACCCGCTCAGCTTCCCGAGGTCTGGGCCTACAACGCCGAGTCACCAGTCGACGCATTCTGCATTCAGCTTTGAATTACAAGAAGGTGGTCAGACTTCAGCTCAGAGCAGTCGAAGGGGAAGTGCTGTCACCCCACAGAGCCCCGTCAGCCCCGCACAAGTTAGCAACATGCTGGACGATTCTATTTGGCTCGAGAGTATTCGGAGAACTGCAACAGTCCGGAAATCGGTTCGAAAATCCGATTGGAGTAGATAGGTGCACCAGAAGGTGGTGCGTAGTGGATTTTGTTCCTTGAGCGACGGCGTTTAGGTTTGAGATGAAGACGTGTCATCGATTCTGGGCATAGCTCCTAGACCATTTTTGAGCCACGAGAGGCATGAGCACCATGAACCTTTTGTTTTTCATGTCAGATAGAAAGATAGACGAAGCAACTTGCTCACGGCTTTGGTTGATACTTGCGGCATGATGATGGCTATCATCAAGGCAGGGGCTTCGTAGACTGCACGTAGGGTAGTGTAGCTAATGCGGAAGATTTCATGAACATAACGATCCGTGTGAAGGAAGTAAGCACCCCGAGCTGTGAATCTCCCTGCCTCGATGTCATGCACAAATCCCACGACCAGTACCAATGACTAGAACGGTTGTCACCCTGTACGTGTCTCTGATTCGCAAGTCACAGTTGATTGCACTCAGATCAAAATGTCTCATGCCCCGCTTGGACGTTGCGATCGGACATTGAGGCTTAGAAAGAAGAGACCAGTTTCTCGTTCATCTGAAAACGAAGATTGCAGAGCTCATTGCTATGTCGAGTTGTTCCCAGAGACAACCACGGTGGAGCCGGCATGCCGTGGCTGGAAAGACCAAGCATACATACTCATGCCATCTCCTACCATTGCAATATCAAAATCCTCTTAACAAGTCCGAAGCTCCACGTGCATTGAAAGCTCTGTTGCCGTTTGTACGCTCTCTCATATTTCTTTTCGTCTCGGGTTCAGACATCAAAACAGTAACGTTTGCTTGGCAGGCGTCAAAGAGAGGCTAAACTTCTTTGCGCATGAACCCGAGGATCAGAACAAAGTGGATTTCCTTCTATGGAAATCTGAAACCTTGCTTGATTTGTTTTCACGAACGAAGACTCCGAGGGTTGAAGCTATGTGTTGTTTGCTGGAGCATCTTAAGGAAGGATTCTAGAAGATTTCCATCATCGATATCCATGCACCCTGACCCAAGACTTACTGAGCAAACGAGTGCACTCACTATAGTGAAAAAACTTGTACACAGAGACTTGGTGAGTGGGACGAAATATCAAGTATATATCAGTTCTCCGTCATGAGCCGTCGGCGAATAAAGTTGGGCTCTTGGCGGAATGACGAAGAGACCAAGTTGCAACAGCGCCAAGAGCACCGCTTCTGAGATTGGGAATTGCCTCTGGGCTTCATTACCTACGTGGTACCCTAACTCCCGTATCTAAAGTCCAAGACCTTGTCCTAGATGTCTGCAGTAGAAAGATCAGACGGGATGAAGTAGAAAAGAAGCTTCATCGACAGTCACCCATCGGGGTCGAACATGGTTCCGGGGATAGGCCTCGGGGAATTGATAAAGTCCTAGTCTAACGACGGGTCTGAGTCTCGTATTTCGTGACTTTCATGTCTCGTCTCGTCCGGTATAGGACCCTGGTCTGGTCTGGTCTGGTCTGGTCTGGTCTCGTCTTGTCCGTGTCTCGTCGTCGCTTGGCACTTGCTCGTTTCATTTTCGTGAATGTTTCAATGTGCCCCTCCTCTCCTACTTTGGCCGTCCTAGGCGCACAACTACGGTCTACCTACCTAAGTGACGGGAGGATCGGAGGCCATCGATGAGATAGGAGCTAATCTTCAAGTTCTGCACTCCTTTTGCCTCCGTGTAGGAATACCCAGACACGCCAGACTCTCACTCGATGCTCGTCTACCCGGACCTGAGCACGATTGCAACGGAGAGGACAGGGGTGCGGTAAGGGGATACCCAGGGGTGGCCTTGTTTCCAGTCTCAGTGAGCCCATGTCCATCACGTTATTCTTCCCCTTTCCTGGCTCTCAACCATGAGACCGATGGATGCCCACTGAAGGAGAAGACACTTGGACCTCTGTCTTGCTGGAGGATCAGTTGGGGGATGCGACAGTAAAGCGACTAGGAGAACGAAGACCCTGGATTTGGAGAGTTGGATGCGTGTGATGGTGTTTGTGATTCGGGTAATACTTCAAAGGAACGGACGAGCTTCCTGTTTAGTATGCAGAACAACAACACGAGGTTTGGGATGAAGAGGTGAAAGAACATCGCATGGTTGATGTTACGTGTCCGACGTACACTGCCCTGACGGGACTTTATTTCTGTGTTCGGCTTCGAGTCGACACCCACTACGGGAATCGGCAGTCCATTTTTGACTTCGCCTTTGTCATTTACAGCGCAATGGGGAGAGGATATAGATAGACTGCCACAGTCTCTGCTAGATTGATATGCCCTTTTTAGCATACTATATCGTGGGCTCGTATTTATACTGTGTGTCAAATATCGAGCACCGCCTTATGAGCATTAGAGCAGAGAAACCAAAATAAATATCGTGGGCTCATATGAGTATTAAGTCTTTGGGCAGGCCCAGGAATATTCCTGGCAGAGCATTGCCACAGTGGCTCAGAGAGGTCTTCCAGAAGGCTTCGACACCCACATCACGGGCTTTCCGCCGCGTTGGCAGTGGCCATCCTCGTCAAGGGAAAACTCTGGTGCGAACGAGTGGCACGAACGCCGCGCTATGGCGATGAGCACGTTATGCGGTTGCGGTCAACCGTCCAGCGGCAGCCCATCCACCACATAGCGCACATGCCTGTCCATAGCTTGCCCTTCGCCCTCCAAGGCCTGAGGCTTGGGCAATGCTCGGTTCTTTTTTTTGGTAGAGATATAGTTGAGAGCTGAAGCATTCGAGGTAAAGTAGCAGCGGATTATGGAGACACAAGCTGAGGCTGAGGAGAGTGAGGTGTTTGTACGTAATCGTGGACACTCACCAACTTGTAAGTCCCAGGCCCGTCGTCAGGGTCGGCGTCAGCGTCAGCGTCAGCCATGAAGCACGCATGACATCGGCAATTTCGTTGGCGGGCGCCCTTGAAACAGCCGTGCGTTCTTTGTCTGCATCGCTAGGCTGTCTGGCTGTCACTCTGCTTGTCGCCCGTAGCGGTGACTGACCCCTGACGCCTTACCCAACTGCCCGTATCATCAGTTATCTTATCGGGCTCTGCTCTCCGAAGTTATTGATCCGATGTATTCTCTTGGCCCCCGTGTCAGTAGAATCGTAGCCATGATGCGTGGGGAGGTACATTGAGGGATGGACGCTCGCCGCCTGTGCGTTAACAGACTTTTGTTTTTTGTTTTTTGGCAGTACGGGTACCGATGAAGTCGGTGGGAAGCCAAGACAAGCCAAGCCGAGAAGGCCGTTCCGTACCCGCCCGTACCCTTTCCATACTTTTCCCGCAGGAACGGTACCTCCGTAGGTACGAAGAACCCAAGGTACCCCAGGGGAAACTCATCCCTTGCTCCTGGCCCCCCTGACGACGATCACACAATGCAGCCAGTTGGGACTAACGGAGCAGGAGGCTGCTACGTACCTCAGACTGCCTTGCACCAGCTCCTGGGGCATCTCTTGCACGTTACAGAGCACTAGTTGCCTCTTGCCCTCGCGTGCTGCTTCCATAAACTGATGGTTCTTGCTCTGGATCCGTATGTGAGCCCCGATAAGCCAACATCTACAGATACTGAACGCATCTCTTTTTGGTAAGGTGGTGCGCAGGTATGGCATGTGCGGCACGCCATCTCATAGGTATCTCATGTGGTCTCTCTTGGTCTCCCACCGGCCCCTCTGTCTTCCATCGATAGACAGACGTCCGTAAACAAGTTTATTCATGTCAGAGAAAGATGTTGCCTCATCATCACAGTAGGACGCAGTGGGAAGACAAGTCAACTACCGAATGCCTCGACGTAAGTTCATCCGCCAAGGAATGGACGGGCTCAACGCCAGGTTCGGTGTCCTCGTCCAAGTTGGACCGGTCCATCGCTCCCGTCTCTTAGACTCAGTCTCAGAGCCGGTCAAGTTACCTAAGACTACTCCCAAAGCATGCCGTTGCCTACGTACTCACATGCTGCCGTGCAGACAGAAAGAGGCACATCTGCGTCCGTCGTCTGAACAACATGTCTTCCACCATCCAGCACCGGTGGCATCCATGCATGTCGTCTTCCCAAGTTCCCACCGCATTGCTCGTTGCCAAAAGAGGCAGCGTCCTGATGCCACACCTCGCATTGATGCCGTCTGCGTCACACCCCTGAACCTCAAGCCCGCTTCTCCATACTATGTATGCATCCTTGGTATTTGAACCCTTGTCACACTTCTTAATCCTCCGCATATCCTCACTCCCCTGTCACCCTCCTAGTTCCTTTCCCTGCCTATCCTTTCCACCTCCCGCGGCCCCTTGTTCCCTCTCTGCCACTTCGCTTCGTCTGCGATTGATTCCCTGCCAGGGGCAATTCGCTCGTCTCAGCCGGACTACTACTGCTGCCGAACCTAGCATACCTGTTCTACTACTAGCCTACTATTAGCCTCACGTTATTCTCCCTCCCGAGTGTTCACATCTTCTGACACTTGATATAATCCATCCCGTTCCCACTGTCTACGTTCCTCTTTTTGAACTCAGTTTATTCACAATTTCCACCCCTTCAATTCTCGCCATTCACTCGTTCATATACAATTCAGGCTGAGCCTCCAATATCCCACATCTTCACCCACATTCCTAGACGTGTTGTCATCGAGCTTGACCACCGTCACCTCCCACTATCTCGCCATCATCCATATCCACCAGAGCTTTAGAAGTAGCAAAGTGTCGGAAACGCCTTATTCTCGTTCAAAATGCAGTCCTCCTCCCGCTTCCAGTCCATCACCTCCCGCTTCTCTCCGAGCACACTCCGCACAACCTTCCGCCGCTCATCTTCAGCGTCCTCTCGTGCGAGCAGCGACCGAGGCTCCTTTGCTACCGCGGCGTCATCACCAGTCAGTACCATCAACAGCATCGTCTTCCGCCAGCCCTCGATGCTCGACCTCGAGGAAGAGCGCAAGAGCTTCGGCAGCGAGCTCAGCATCCTCGAGCCACGCCCTGTCATCTACTTTGGCAGCGTCGAGGAGCGTATCGGATCACTATAAGCGCCGACAATATACTTTGGTCACATGTTTCTACGAACGGCGGAGATGATGGAAATTCGACACGCCATTATGTTTATGAGCCTCGGAGCTCTTGGGTCTGAATCGGATTAGACTGGGATCTGATTTCAATGAGAAAGCTTGAAAACACAACAAGCGGCGTTCAAGGAGTTCGATCTCGGGGAACGAGCCTAGAAAAGGCATTCCGGGAGACACTCATGGTTTCTTTTAGTAGCTGAAGGCGAGGCTACCACTGTTGAGACATCGCCATGGTGCGATTAGGATAGACCAGCGGCTTGAAAAGCAACGCAATATGTTATCCGTCTTTTTTGCACCCCTTCATACCAGGATACATCACAGGCACAGTGGTCTGGCAAATATTTCAGTGAATGAGTGATGTCGACCACAGTCTCCAACTTGAAAGCCCATTGCCGTTGACACCATCTGATTCACCGATGGAGATGACTGAAGCCACACATCTCCGCCATTGTAGACAAAACTCCAATGTCACCCCTTTACCAGCTCACCAACAAAGAAGTGTACTTACTGGCAGTTCTTACAGCCACCCAAGGTAGAGGACCGATTGATTAGTTTAGCCCATGAAGCAAAGAAAAAGGCCAAGGAGACAGTTCCATCGCCTCAACGTCAGCAAACTAGCGCAAGTCGGCAAACGCCTGCGGGTACTCAATCAAAACGGGCCGCCGCCCGTCCTAGCATCAATTCGAAACAGGCTATTTCGATACACTCTCACGCTTGTAAGAAGATCTTGAGCTATTCAAAGCTAAAGGCACTCAGGCAAGCAAAGTCAAGCACGCAAGAAATATCCTTGCCAGAAAAAGAAGAAGGAGAAGAAGAAAAATCAATGTCCCAGCAATCACCCTCGGGAGAAGACCCCGTTCCAAAGATGTGGTGGATCATGGTCGGTGGTAACAGCCTCGCATCGTCCCCGACGTGGAACCGCCTCCTGTCTATGGCGGACGAACGCAACAAGGTAAGGCGGGACGCAGAGAAGGAGAAGATGGATTTTCAAGAGGCTCAGAAGGCTGCGAAAGAGGAGCTTGAGAGGGCGAAGAAGACGTACAAGGAGACGTTTGGCGGCGGGGTGGCGGCTTGGAGGGAACGAAACCGCGGAGCGGAAGCCAATGGGGACGGAGCCGGGACCGGGACTGGCCCAGATCACGAGCACCGCACGGAAGAGACGACCACCCCCGATGACGGTCCTGAGGCAGATAGGTGAGCATCCTGCGGCTTTCTCCGAGCTTGGGCTTGATAGCATGGCTAGATGAACACAGAGCGCCGCTGCCATTGCACGGGATATGTTTAGGAATAGGAGATCCGCGTGCGGAACATGATGCAACAGTACAGCTGCGGTATCTTGGGAGAATGCGCCGGAGGTCGGCAGCTCAACATCAATAGCTCTATGATACAAATACTATGGCATACATTTACAACAGGGGCATCAAGCTTCGTTTCAAGCTCGGTAAATGTCTGATCGTGTCCGTCTACGATAGGATCTCGTCGATGGACTAGCATGACTTATGAGGCCTTGCTTCTTCTCTTGCCCATGTTGCGTACTCTGGGCTCGACAACCCACTTGTTGAAGTTGTGCTTGCGACGGGTCTTGAAACCGCCCTTGGCCTATAGGAAATATGTCTCAGTAACTGTGAGGGTAGGAGGGACAGCAGGAAGAAACTTACAGGAGTGCCCCAAGGACTGGTAGGGTGGCGGTTACCCTTGGACTTACCACGACCACCACCGTGAGGGTGGTCGACTGTCAGATGATTGTTAGCATTTTTAACCCGTACAGTCAAGCCTGGATACACGTACCGGAGTTCATGGCAAGACCACGAACCGTGGGGCGAATGTTGAGCCATCTGCTTCGTCCGGCCTTGCCCAATTGTCTGTACTGGTGGTGCGGGTTGCTGGCGACTCCAATCGTTGCGCAAGCGTCTTTGCTGACTCTGCGGATCTCGCCGCTCTGAAGACGGACGTTGATGTACTTGCCCGTGACAACCTTGGTACCATCGTCTCTGGTCTCTTCCTCCTTGGAGACCACGATTGCGTAGGTGCCAGCACTGCGACAGAACACAGCGCCGCCCTTGGCTCTCGAGCCGACGTTGAAGACGACAGTGCCGACAGGAATCATGTGCATGGGAAGGCAGTTGCCTCTCCAGGCGGTCTTGGCTGCCAAAATACCGGGATCGACGACGCCACCCATGCTGTCGAGAAGGTCCTTGGGAATACCGGAACGGTAGCTGTGGACGACGTCACCGGCACGCATACCCTCGGCGGCGACGATGTAGCTTTTGCGCCCAGTGGACTTGTTGGAGAGCAGCGCAATGTGAGCACTTCGACCCGGATCGTACTCGATGCGATCGACCAAATGCGGACCAGCCTGCCAGCGATCAAAGTCAACGGTGCGTATCCTTCTCTTCGCGCCACCTCCGTGATGTCTGACGGTGATTCTTCCAGAGTTGTTACGACCTCCCTTGCCGTGGCCCTTCTTGGGATAGGTCAGTGGCAGGAAGGGTCGGCCCTTCCACAGGTGATCATTGATCGGACGCCTCAGATGACGGACACCGGGTGTTCGCGGCTTGTAGGTGCGCATGATAGCGGAATCATTGCTTGCTTTCGCGATGGTCGGAACAGGAGGGGCGGGCTCGCTGGTGGACTTTGCGGCGGGCTTCTCGACAGACTTCTTCCTCGTGGCGGTGGCATATTGGCGAAGCGCAAGCCCACGAAAGGCGGTCGAACCGAGGAGACTTGCGCAGCTCCTCTGAGTCGACAAGAGCATCATAGGGCGCGACATGTTGGCATCGATATGGGTTTGCGATTCGAAGTGGACGTTCCCTCTTCTCGAGTCGGTTGATTGTGTTCAGGAGAAGCTGGTCAGCGCAGCATATCGCGTAAAAGGACGGGTTCGGTCGGGGTGCAGCGGCAGCGGGAAGGCGAAGACAACCCTAAGATAAGTCTCAATTGCTCAATTGAGCTCAGAACTATCCAGATCCGACCCCAATTGCCGTTGGGATACTCGTTGGGTGGGAATACGGTCCCTGTTGTCGTGATTGCTGGAGCGGCTCTCCAAGGTACGCTTGAGGCCAGTGCAGATTTCGAGCTTTAGGAAATAATTATTCTGCCGGCGCCGATGAACTGACGTCCAGGAATGGAAGCCCGGCCATTGGCGGTACGTGCTGCTGCAAGAAAGCTTCAGCCACACTTTAGTGGACCTGTGTGGCTCAATTCTCGAGTTGAGCCTCAGACGCCTCGACACGACCCGGCCAGGCCGCCTCTGGAAGCGTGACGGGACGTGGTTGGGAAGGCAGCCAATGATGTTCTGGTTGCCCCGCGGTTGCTGCTGTTGATTGCTATTGTGACCGGGGTAACTACCCATTTTCCACGTCTTTTTTTGCAGTCTTCTCCATCAGCCAGCAGACCTTCTTTCGCGTGCAGCCGGGGCAATCGCGTATCCACCCTCACACTGCTCCCACTCTCGCTTGGCTACAACCACGACCCTCGAACTTCCTCATAAGCCTACGATTATCTCCGGGTTTAAGGCACTTTGATATTCCTGCTGCTCCTTTCGAGGTATCTTCAATCTCGCCCCAGGCAACCGACAACAGAAACACATTCTCACCACTGTCGCCTCTCGAGCTTCTCTTTCATCTATAAGAGAGCTTCTTATTCTCATACTCACTTTACAAACCCCAAAACCATCACCACGGCATCATCCTTCTTGTCGCATACCGCACACATCCACCTTCTCACCCTGCCAGCATTCCATCCGACCTGTTCGTCACTGTCTGCACCGCCAGGTCCTCTACGGTACCTGAATCACGCACAACTGGTGAATTTCTTCGATTCACTACCTCCAAACGCCCAGAGCTAGATATATATCTTGCTCTTGTCCAGCCTTCACCTCACCTTCCTCACCTGTTGCACTCTGCACACAAAGAAAGCTCGAATTCTCTTATGAGATTTCATTGAGTCGCGACTACATCCTCAGCCATTGTTCACGACAAAGACACCCCCGACGCGACTTTCCCTTTTAGCGAGAGTCAAGAAGCCACTCCCTGTCCGCCGTTCGCGTGTGCACCAACTGCACGCCTGTCTGCTTCAGATACGCTACTGTGGTGACCAAACCAGGGCCACCGCGAGCCGCGACTTGAAAAAATCGGTACGTACCTCCCAAAGCTGGCGGCTCTGGTCCCATTCACAATAACGTACCCACTGCATACCACATCACGTCCATCCGTTCCCACTACCTCAGCAAAACACATCACACATTGATTGTCCATCCACCTCCTCCCACATAAACAACCTCAGTTTTGCCCAAAGCCCAATACCCTAATTACTCTACCTCTACCTTTGTATTGCCCTCTTCTCCTCCGTCCCAGCATCATTGCATCTTTGTCAATTGGCACCCGGGACGCGACTGATCCCGCCCATCAAGTGTTTGGCGTCGAACCAGAGCAAGCGTTTTGCCCGCGTTCGAGTCGCCCGTCATCATCATTCCCCAAGGTATGCATGTCTCGACCTTGCTCACATCGTTCCATTACCGCGCTCTTCCTCTTCCTCTCTTCTCAAGCACAAGCTGCCACAACCTACACTGTCTCTGCTGGGGACCTGACCAGCATCTCGACGCGTCCCAATGCTGACCTTGTCTTCATAGAATCCTACACCTCAGATACTCAACTTGACATAATCAGTTGACAAGATGCCCGTAAGTCTACTCGTAGATGCGTGTTCCTGCAATACACGCAGTATGCTCTGGTCATGTCGACATCATGCTCACCTTTTCTTTCAGGTTACCCGTCCGGCGCGTACAACACGCCTCGTTTCAAACGAGAACGATGAGAACAGCGGAACCACGCGCATGACGCGTGCCAAAGCAGCCGCGCTAAGCGTTGATGAGCTCGCTGTCCCAGGAAAGGCCCTTGCCACGAAGAAGTCTGCAACCAACGCGATCCCGGCAGCCCAACGAACCAAACGCGCCGCCCTCGGCGATGTCAGCAACGTCAACAAGCCAGAGGCTGGCGCAGGCAAGAAGCCTGTTGGCAAGGTCGGCCTCGTCTCCAAGGCTGAGAAGCCTACCGGAATCACCAAGAAGTCTACCAGCACCACCAGATCCGTAGCACCCAGAGAGAAGAAGGACAAGGCACCCGGCTCAGGATCCGGCGCGATCTCGAAGAGAAAGGTCACGACAAAAGTCATCAAGGAGGAGAAGGAGATCTCTCTGGAGGACAGCGAACCCATGCGCAAGAAGCCCACTACCGAGACTCGTCGAACCAAGCCCGACCAAGAGAACGTCAAGAGCCAGACTCCAGTTGAATCTGAGCCTGTCAATGCCCAAAAGCCTGTCGTCTACCCCCCCGGCGTTAGCAACCTGGATGAGGAGGATCTGGACGACCCGTTGATGGTGGCCGAGTATGCCAATGAGATCTTTGAATATCTCAAGGACCTGGAGTGCAACTCCATTCCCAACCCCAACTACATGGAGCACCAGGACGATTTGGAGTGGAAGACGCGTGGAATTCTGGTCGACTGGTTGATTGAGGTGCACACGCGCTTCCACCTTCTCCCCGAGACTCTCTTCCTGGCCATCAACGTCATTGACCGCTTCCTCTCTGAGAAGGTCGTGCAGCTCGACCGCCTGCAGCTTGTCGGCATTACCGCCATGTTCATCGCCTCCAAGTACGAGGAAGTTTTGTCGCCTCATGTCGCCAACTTCCGCCATGTCGCCGATGATGGATTCAGCGAGGCTGAGATCCTCAGCGCGGAGCGATTCGTTCTGGGAACCCTGAACTATGATCTGAGCTACCCCAACCCTATGAACTTCCTCCGTCGCATCAGCAAGGCCGACAACTACGACATCCAGTGCCGTACCATCGGCAAGTACCTCATGGAGATCAGCCTCCTCGACCATCGATTCATGGCCTACCGCTCCAGCCATGTTGCAGCCGGCGCTATGTACCTGGCCCGCCTCATCCTGGACCGTGGTGACTGGGTATGTAACATTGATTACAGCAAAGTAAGCTAGTTGATTAACAATCCAACAGGACGAGACCATTGCATTCTATGCTGGCTACAACGAAGAGGAGATTGAGCCTGTCGTTCGTCTCATGGTGGATTATCTTGCTCGCCCCGTCGTCCACGAAGCCTTCTTCAAGAAGTATGCAAGCAAGAAGTTCCTCAAGGGTAAGCGCCTTCTCGACCTCGTGCCTCATTTGCCTCGCTGACATTTGTGTAGCTTCCATTCTCACCCGCCAGTGGGCGAAGAAGAGTGCTCCTCACTTCGGCATTGTCGATGTTCATCTCTCCCTGGACCAGATCTCAAACAAGGAAGACGAGCAATACCCCGAGGAAGAGGAGGAGGAAGCCAACTATTAGCGAACCTGCGCCGAGTAGTTGGATGATCTTCAGCGTTTACGGCCACTTTTACGAATGCATACATCGGCGACGCGCACCTCTTTGAGTGCAGCAGTTACCTTGTCGCGTAACCCCAGGTTCTCAACTGTAGCCCTCGCGGGCTTGTAGGGGGAAGGCGATTGGGCTTATTACTTTTCTCTGGGTTAGATTGTTTCCAGACTCATCTGTCAGATATGGGCAGCTGTTTTGTGTTGCTTTATTTTTTGTGGGTTTACATTTTCCATCGCATTGGGACTTCGTTGCTCTTGTCTCATGAACGGCGCATGGAGTCAGAGGACAAGGATATCACGAAAGCGGACGGTTTGGCTGGAGTTCGTTGACTCTGTCTTCCACTGGGCTGGCAAGACATGGAATTCACTATTTTTGTGTGTTAAGGCATGGCTGGCCTACAAGTGAGGGGTGTCTTGTCGTCGTCTAATCGTTGCTCCCGTTTGGAGTGTTTTGATGATGCGCAATGAGGGAAGGCAAACATACCATACATCGGGGGGCGGGGGTAGGTAGGGGTTAGCTTATAGCCAACGGCATCGTGAAAAACCTGTACATACATCTGTTCGGAGAATTGGGTTCAGGGAGGGCTGAATACATTGCATTGCGTTTTTCTGTTCGAAACAACGGCAGTTAGCATGAGTGCACGAGCCTGTCTCTCAATCACCACAAGTAACCTCTCGCAGAAGGATCATGCCTTCGGCGGAAGACTCAACACACTCATCCTACCACCCGTGAGATGAAGTCGCCTTTGTATTCAAAGCAGGATGACTGGGTCGGGTGACCCATAATTCTGGGGGAACTGTAATCTTAGCATCATATGGAATGAGAGCTGAAACCTCTTTGGTGTGTATAACAAGATTATTTGACAAGAACTATGTGACACTATATAATAAACACTATATTACGATTTGGTAGAATTCCAGACATGGCAATTATTCGGTGGGCATAAACATCATCGAGCAGCTTAGTCTGAAGAGGGCAACAGACTTGACTCTCCTCCAAATCTATCGACACTTTGGGGGAGGCTAGGCCCAGGGTAAGCTTAACCGAGGGTGGTGCGCGCATCCGTTCGGTACCAATTGGCCTTGGGGTCGCCGAGGCACTCGCCAATGGTGACCATGTTCTTGCCCTTGAACTTTTGGAGAGTGAACTCGGTGAGGTTGTAGACGGTCTGGTAGTGGATGTCGTGGCCGATGAAGAGGAAGTTGTCGCTGGCGGCGGGCTGGGCGGCGATGGCCTGGGTGACGATGTCCTTGGACTGCTGGATCTCTGTGGCGCTGTCGTGGAGGTAGTCGGCGCTGTCGAGGTCGAAGTAGATGATGGAGTAGCCGAGCGCCTTCATGTCCTTTTCGCAGCCGCAGGCGGCGGTGCAGGAGGAATAAGGGGGTCTTTTTGAGTGTTAGAATAGGATCTTTGGGAGTCCACGCAGGGTTGATTGGAGGGGTTTGCTGGAATTACCTCATGTAAGTAGGGAAGACACCGATGATGTTGCGGAGAGCCATCTCCAGCTTGTACATCTCATCCTTGCGCTGCGCCGAGGTGATGTTGCACTAGTTTCTCAAGTTAGTAAACCCGTTGGTGAGAAGACGGGCCATTATGGCAAGGAGACGTACCAGATCAGCGTGGGACCAGGTGTGGCTGGCAATCTGGTGACCTTCGGCGTACATCCGCCTATCGCTCAACGTTAGCCAAAGAAACCCTACAGGTCTTGCTGGAGGGGGGGGGGGGGGGGGGGGGGGCTGAAGTGGTTCATACTTGATGGTGTTAACCCAGGGGAAGGTGGCATTGTCGATTTCACCCTTGCCGTTGTTGTTGCCGGTGATCATGAAGCTGGCCGAGGCATTGTACTTCTTCAAGAGATCCAAGAGGTCGTTCGTGTACGCGGCCGGGCCGTCGTCGAACGTCAGGGCAACGTCGCCGGGCTTGACGCAGCTGTAGACACCGGGGCCACCGTACTCGACCGAGCCGAGCTTGGGGCGGGCGATGCTCGAGGTGTTCTGTCCAGGAGGAATCTTGTTGGCATCGCAGGCCGGGCCGTACTGGAACAAGCAGTCCGGAGCCTTGCAGTGCTCTACATTCATGTTAGGGTTTACAACTTCCAAACCGACATGGCGCGGGTTTCAATTACCTGTAGTGGTTCCGCAGAATCTGTTATGATATTAGCGAGACTGAACACGGCTCGAGATTGGAGAAATCACTTACCCTGCCGCAGAGCAGCATTCGTTCGCGGCGCACTTGGCGTTCCCGTTATCGGGGCCGCAGACCCCCGAGCCGGAGTCGCCGCCATCGCCACCAGTTGCCGGCGGGCTACCGTTGTTGTTACACGTACCGAACGCGGTCTGGCAGCCGTTGGTCGCCAGACAGTAGTCGTCGGTCGAACCGCACCAGCCATTGACAGAGCAGCAGGCCAGATTCGTAGGGCAAGTGTATCCCGCCGCGCTGCCACCGTTACCAGTCTTTCCGCAAGAGCTGTCGGGAGAGACGTTGACAGCCACTGCGGTGCTGCTTGGGCTGCTGACAGGTGCCTTGCTGCTGCTCGCCGGTGCCTTGCTAGCGCTCGCTGATGCTTTGCTGCTGCTGCTCGCTGCTGCTGGTGCCTTGCTGCTGGTGCTGCTCGTTGTTCCCTTGCACGTACCAAAGCCGGTCTGGCAACCGTTGGCGGGCAAGCAGTAGGCGTCAGTAGAACCGCACCAGCCATTGACGGAACAGCATGGCAAGTTGGTAGGGCAGGTGTACGCCTTGGAGCTACCTCCGTTTCCAGTCTTTCCGCATGAGTTGTCTGGGGAGACGGCCCGGATGCCGAGAGGAGGCGAGGCCACAGCCGTTCCGGCGAGGGCGAGCACGAGAAGCTCGAGAATAGACATGGTGAACTGTGAGTCGACAAGTAACAGGGCACAGTCCCAAGGAGCCAAGAAAGAACGAGCGTGGTGTGGAGAAGAGCGAGTGAATGTCAAGCAGATCAAGCCAACAAATGCGGCGATAGGAGACGACTTAAGAACATCGAGCCTATGCCCCTAAAAGCCCCTAAAAGAAAGTTGTGAAAAACGCGAATCACCAAAACGGTGAGCCGCAAGATCCTTCTAGGAATCTAGAGGCTCGAGATGGGACTATCTTTGTCATGGCGCGGTAGTAAAGGGGCCCCGTTGCTGTGTTTGAGAATCAGTTCAATGTCAGGGTCGACTACTTTGGGGTCGTCAAACTACCATCGGTTGCTACATCGTATGAGATGGTGGCGTTTTCAGAGTTGTGGATGGCTCTAGTTCCACAGAGACTCCTGGTGCCGTTGCAGAGAGATGGAAAACCAAAATGGGCATAGCGATGGGCGGGCGAGAATAGGGGGGCGTTGACCGAAACAAGCTGCTTTTACGATGTAGGATGCGGCTAGCGGATGCTCCCTCGAGGACCGTGTGTCGACGAGGTCAGAGTTCCTCGGAAACAACCTAATGCTACCCTAGCTGCGTGTGGTAGAATGGAGCTGAGAAGCGACACTGAGGCATTGCTGAGACAAAGTCGAGATGCATCATGGTAGATGTTGTGCGCTAGCTGAATGTCAACATCGCGGACCGAAGACTTGGCGATGAGAATCGGTAAACGTGACCACGGCCGGTTGACGATATCTGATGGTGAAAAGCCATCGACCCTATTTGGAACACAATGCTTGATCGCAAACCCAAAGCCAACTGAGCGGATTACCACTTGGATCCGAACCTCGGTGGCGGTGACCGTTCAGAAGCTAGCTTGCATTGCGGCAGGTGAATAATAGAGCCCGTGTACGGCAGCTGAGATTTGTTTTGGTGTTTTGATTCCTCGACGCTGAAGGCGAATCCGGGTTGAGGGTCTCCGTGAAGACAACGGAGCCGATATATATCGAAACAATGACCGGGCCGATTCACGGCGGGAGCGGGGCCGCAAGTATTACACATACCCCGAAAACTTTTTTTGCTGCTCTGACTTGACGGATAGATATGGTTAATCGCTAATCGCGAATCTTGTTCCAAGTGCAACTTAGTCGGCAGTGAGGGTGAGGCTGCTGCTGTTTACATAGGGTAGCTAACTGCTGGCGAATCACGACTCACCAACGCCATCTCAGAGAATCGGAGAATTAATTGCCCTCGACCGCAGCTTGACCCTGTCTCCGACGGGATGTTGGCTGAACCCGTTTCCATCTTCAGGGGTTGCAGCCATTTGGAAACGTGAGCGAACTCCAGGTCATTCATTAGGCATGGTTCGGGATCTGCAGAGCCAATGAGGCACCCCAAACGGTGTGGGACAGGGGGTTGATTTGGCATTCCCAGTCCAGAGATGACAATGGGTTTGCAGGAGCTGAAAACACACTGGATTGTATTGACTTCGCGAGGAGTGCCGTGGCTGACTCTGTGGTTCTGATAAAGTTCTGTTTTAATTTGAACAAATGAACAAAGTAACCATCACCTGGATATCTGTTCCCGCCGTGCATTGCGTTGCTGTAGCGACGATCTGCAAGCAAGTGATCAATTGGGATTGATTGAACACATCCTTTGCATCGGCGCCCGAGAAGACCGCGGAGCATTTATTGGCTGTCACAACGCAGTGAAGGAAGAAGTTGATAGCAGCGTCGTCGGTTCCATACGAGTTTGTCGTGGTTGACCAGAGGCTCCCAGTAGCAAATTAGGCTAGAGGTCCAGAAGGTATCTTCGTATTTCGATTCCTGTCAGCGATATTTTCTGAAATGTCTCTTCGGCCCAGACGGGCTGAGTTGTGGCATTGGGCAAAGGCCACGCGTTTGCAAAATTGACGAAGGTGTCGACGTGCCGGTCTTCCGATGATCCCGGGCCAAGGTAATGGAGACCAAGACGGCACAGGCGAACAAACAAGTCCGGTGTGCGACGAGAAGCGACTGTCGTGATGGCTGGCTGATCAAGACGATGTTAGGAAGTAAGTTGGAATGGAGACGAACTAGCCTGGAATCTCTCAGACATGGCTAGGTGTAGGCAAAGATGAGGGCTGTAAGGGTTTCTCTGTCAGTTAAACGCTCAACTTGATGGAACTGCCGACTCGTCACGGATACAAATGTCTGCCGTGGTTGTGTGTGTGTGTGCCAGTCAGCGAAGATCGAGTGACGGCGCGTGCTTGGCATATTTGTGGCATAGAGCAACGAATTTGGTGCGCAATCTTCTGTCCTTGGTTTGTAAAGTGGTTCAGGGAATCCTAGACCCAAGGCAGTCAATGATCAGAGCAAAAGAGCGCGATGCGACAGGCAAGTAATAGTGACAGGTTGATGAAAGTGAAGCTGACAAGACTCTTGGCAGAGTCAGAAGTGACAGGATTGAGTCGATTGACTGCTGTGATCCACAGTGCCGAGACCCAAGCCATCGTGCGTCCTGTGGTACGTACTGTCTTAGGTAAGGTAAGGTAGGTAAGCGAAAGGGGCTCCTTTCGCGACGGGAGCACGGCACCACGGGAGGCAGGCGCGCAGGTCTGGTTTGAGGTCTCAGATGGGGCCTTCTCACCTCCGCAACGGGAATGGAAATCAGAGGTACCTTGCAAGTATCCGCCAGGCATAGCCTTACCAAGTACCTTCCTTTTTTTTCTCTTTTTTTTTCTCTCCTCTGGCGATGGAAGTCGCACAGGACACAAGACGGGTCAAATGGGCTCCCTCAGGCGCCTTCTCAAACACTTGGGAGACTCGGGATTGGTCCTTTGACTCAAGTGATCAAGTGAGAAAAATGTCTGGGGCTGCCATCCAGTGACCCCTTCACCTTTTCAAATAAATAAATAAATATTTCTTCTTTCAGCTCTTCGCGCGACGCGCAGTGTATGGATACGTGATCCCTTGCCTATTCTGTTCTGCCAGCTAAAGTGTATCGCCCCTCGGGTTCCGTTCAATGTTGGCGATGAAATGGCAGGGCTGTGGCAACGTACCCGCGGGATCCTAAGCGATTAGCCAAGTGAGGAAAGGAGTCAGATGCTAATTGCAAAGCTACGTCAAATGGGCTCGGCCATGCTGTTTTAGTCTGTACTCTGTTGGCTTCGTCCAAGCCCAAAAATACATTAGATGCGATGGTAGATGATCGGCTGCGCCTGCATCAGGGGACTTCCTTCATCTGTTGCCTGTTGGCGTTCCTCAAGCTCGTGCTCACCTTCAGCATTCATGCCTTGCGCTGTCACTCATCTGCAGACCCCATAATGCCCATCAAAGTTTAGACGTGTACGGATGAACGAGCCCTTCCGTGGCTAACAATGCCAGTTATCTTTTTTGCCATGCTTCAATTCTAGACAGCTCATGAGCTAGAAGATTATTGATACCCTTCGCTGGACTGGCTGCTTGATGTGTGTTCTTCCTTGCTAAGGTTGCGCTGGTCGATGTACCTCAAGGTATCACCTTAGCCAACAGTTCCTCTTGAATCGCCCCAAACTACCGCCGCCGTCTCGAGCACTGCCACGCGACTGCTTACTCCGTTTGTTTCGGCACCCTCCCTGCCATCGACCTCAAAGTGCATCCGTCGCTTCCACCTTCATCTCAGGGGAGCTCCCATGTCCCCTGAGCCTTGATCATACTGTACAGAACATCCAACAGTTCGACTTTCTTTCACAATTTCTCAAAACGTCTCTCCGTATTCAATTGTCATCGGGTTTTCTACAGTCCGTAACCTGACCGCCGCTATCTCGCCAGAAACAAGATCAACCAGCAGACCAAGACCCTCTCGCCGCATGTACCGTGCTACTACGCTTGGCGCGTTCCCAAGTTCCTTACACGTACCTTACACTACACATTATTCAAACATCAAACAAGTCGCCGGCCCCTCGTGTCTTGTTGCCGTTTCTGCACTTCTCTTCTTACTCGCGCCAGCCAACCTTTACCTTTTCCACTCTCCCATCGCAACTCAGACCCGACTCACCTTCACCTTGGCCTGATAATTCTAGCAGCCCCGATTTCGCCCCTGCCTCTCTCTCGCCTCTCACCCTAGATACCTTTACGTGAGGTACCGCAAACCCCGGCCAGCCACCACCCAGGTGCCGTATCCGCGCGCACCAATTCACTACGCCATCCTCGTCGCCGTGCGGATCCTTTCCCCATTCCTAACCCCATAACACTAAAACTCTCTTTCCCTCTGCCCATACAGATACGCCTGCTGCCTTTCATTCACCTGAAAGTAGCTTGGAGCCACCTCCCTTCGGATTCGGATGACCTCTTCTCCTCCCCCAACTACTTATTAAATTTTTCTTCTTTCCCCTCACCCTTCACCTCATGTCCTCGTCCATTCCTCTCGCAAACTTGTCGCCCTCGTCGAGGCCTTCGTACTACAAGATGCCCGAATCACCAGCGCCCTACTCCAGGCGCCGTCCGCACCGCGGCCACTGGACTCCCTCGTTAATTGGATCATACGTCTTCGACTGGCTCGTCCTCGCCGTTGCCGGCGGCATTGCCACCGTACTGGGCATTATCGAGCCGAACAAGCGTCCTTTCTCTGTCCTCGACCCTAATATCTCGTAAGACACCAGAACCGCTGCTTAGCGTCCCTTGCTCTACCGCATCTTGCTGACCCAAATCTCAACAGGTTTCCTTTCACCCACCACGAAACCGTGCCTATGTGGCTAGCCGCCATCATTGCTGTCGCTGGTCCCATTATCATCATCGCTGCCGTGTGCCTCATCCTCGTTCCCGGAAATACAGTTCCCAAGGGAACTCCCAAGGGGCTCATCTGGAAGCGGAAGCTGTGGGAACTACACGTTGGGTATCTCGGTCTCGCTCTCGCCCACGTAGGCGCCTTCTTCATCACGAACGGCATGAAGAACATGTTCGGTAAACCACGACCCGACCTTCTCTCCCGATGCCAGCCCGATCTGGCCAACATCGACAGATATATCGTTGGTGGCACTTCCCCCAACATCACCGGCCTGACGGGTGCGACGGGCTTTGGTCAGCTCGTATCTGCGGCCATTTGCCAAAACACCGATTCCCACACTCTCGACGACGGATTCCGCAGCTATCCGTCCGGTCACTCGAGCTCCGCCGCCGCCGGACTGATTTACCTCTCTCTGTTCCTCGCCAGCAAGTTCGCCGTCACCCTACCATTCGTGGCTTCGGACAATGGTGCTGAATCGCACTCGGCTTTTCCTTCTCGCATCAAGAAGACTGGGTCTGGCTACGAGGAAGTTGGACTCGGCGAAAGCGGCTCGCTCAACCCCGATTCCACCACCGCGGCAAGGAACTTGGCTGAGCACAACAAGGTTGTGACGGCTGTCCGTCGACAAGCTGCTGCCCCTCCGATCTATCTCCTGACCATCGTCGTCCTACCTTGGTTCGCATCCATCTTCATTGCCGGCTCTCGCTGGTTCGATTTCCGCCATCACGGTTTCGATATTCTCTTCGGCTACATGATTGGAATTTTCACTTCCATCTTTGCCTTCCGCTACTATCACCTTCCGATTACCCAGGGTGCCGGTTGGGCTTGGGGTCCTCGAAGCCACGACAAAGCTTGGTGGTCTGGCGTTGGCTCGTACAGTTACGCGACTGACAAGGGAGATTTCATTCGGCCCGGCGATGAGGAAGAGGCATATGTGTCGAGACCAGTCATTGGTCAAGCAACGTCGACGCAGTACATGGGCAAGCAAGGCTCTCATGAAGAGCCAGAGGCTGAAACCCGATTTTGATGATTGACTGAGTGCGGCATGTCAAAATAGCATCCATCGCATTTCCATACTGGGCATATTGGGGCATGAACGGAGTTAACGGTATACCACCCGCCTGGAAAAGGAACTGGCGGAGGCATTGGGCAATTGTTTCTTATGGGGCCAGGCATGGCATACAGATATGACCGTTACGGAATAGATTTGTAACTGACGAATTCTGTTGAGACGTTTCTACTTTTGCAAAATGTTATCATGTGAAGAGCATTGATAGTATACCTACCGCAACAACTCTTCGTATGTGAGATCTATAGTACGTAAGTCGTAGGAACCGAACTTCGAACTTTCGCAGTGACTCGTATTTCGACTTTTCCTACTGACCCGAAATACGGCGGGCGCTTGCAATCGGGTAGAAAGGCTTGGAAGGGTCATGCGTGCATACTCGTTCATGATCACCAAGCTCCCTGCCGACAAGACCAGACTAGCCTTTTTTTAACAGTATTTGCGCTTGGCCTAATTACTCACGAACCGCAGGCCAAGATGAGGATATCCAGCTGGATCTTCCAGACTGCATGCCTTTTCAACTGGGCTGTCATGTGGGGAATAATCACAGCTCCTTACCTTGCCAACGATAGCCCTAGTCTAGTGCTGTGCCCTGCCTAGACATCAAGAGAATCCATAAACTTACTGAACGTAGAGGTTTAGATATACTCATCAAGTAATAATCTCTCGAAGGTGTGATTGAGCACGAATTATCCACGTGTACCGTCTCAGGACCACATCCCGAGATGGTAGCTAGTTGATCATGAAAGCCATCATATCATTATTCCCGAGGCCCCAGTCTACCGAATAGGAGAGATGAAACTAGAGAAAAAAAAGGTAACAGCAAAGCGGAGGAAGCCATGCCTGGCCCAAAAAAAGCCTTTTATCAGGTCGCCCCCGTGTGCAATGTCGATGTGTACCTGGCTAGGTAGGTAGTCAAAGATTAGCGAAACCGTCTTCGCCTGGTCTTCCTTCTACTTCACGCCATGGCAACGCCCTCGTCTTCTCCGGGCCGTACGCGCGCTTCCGTGCCCTCGAATTCGACATCGTCCTCGTCCTCGTCCTCCTCCGCCAGCAGATCTTCGTCCCGGAATCCGCTGTCCACCTCCATTTTCCGCAGGCGGCGGCGCATGGCCTCTTTCTTCTGATGCTGCCATCGGATGAGAGCGGCGGGAGCGTGGACCTTGAAGCCGTAAACGCGCGGAATGTAGCGCTCGGCGCTCTTGGTGGGAATGAGTGCCGGGTAGGCCTGGAAGATGATGTTGTGGAACGAGGTTCCAAAGTAGGCGCCGTCGATGGCGGCGTGGCGCGAGGACTTTGGGTTGTAGATGTCCTCGCAGCGTGCGCAGTAGAGCTTGACGGGCTTCAGGTTGGGGATGTCGGCAAGGCCCATGGGAAGGAGAGGGTGCGAATGGCACATGACGCGGGGACACTTTCCAAAGTCGGCCTTTTTGTACTTCTCGAGCTGCGAGCTACGTTAGCCTGCAATCGTAGCAATAATTCAAATACAAAACAATCCTCATTCTTGTTCTCCGGGTTTGGAAAAGAAGCTGGAGAATGATTCGAAAGAAAATATGGCTTACCATCTTGGCAAGACCCCTTGTCGTGACAATGAACCGGGCGTGTACGAGACCATACAGATGCCTCGCGGACTTCTCGATCGTCTCCCTCATCTCATCGTCGCAGTCGAGGTCGAAGACATCGGTGATGAGATCCAGCGCATATTGGTAGTATTGAACCTCCGTGTTCAACCCAGTCAAGTTGAACCGATCCGTCAGGTAATCCTCGTCGATTTCGCAGAAGTATTCGTTGCCACGAGAGGAAATGAACTACAAAGGACCACGGTCAGCAGGTAATTCGTCTTTGGTCAAGTGGCAGTCGTCTGAGGCTGTTGCGAGGGCGTTCAATTCCGCGCCAGCGACCGCGTCGCAGCCCGAGGCCAGCAACCGGCGCTTCCACCCTCATCGAAATTTCCCTTGGAACGCAGATACCCATCGGCTGTCTTTCCGCACTTACCCAGTCTCGCCAGTAGCTCGTATAGTCACTGTCCGACTCGCTAACGAAGTCATCCATCATGGCGGGAAGAATGTGCGACTCGTGCCTCGACGAGCCCTCAGATCATGGCCCAGAGTACGGTCGCGTCGGAACGTTTAGATCGTTCGTGGATATCGAGTAATCGCGGTCGCTCGGCCGTTTCGATTATGGGCGCTGATGTGAAGGAACAGGAGCGAATGTGTTTCTCATTGGGTGGTGATTGACGGTGTTTCTCTGCGCTCATCTACAGGGCAGAAAGCAGTTGGCGGGGCTGTGGTGCGTCTGGCCAGCCGTGCCTGCCAGGGACACTGGAGGGGGTGGGGGAGGTACGTACCCGTTGCACCGGTCATTGCACAACCCAAACTTTATGCAGGCGCGTCTGCACAAATGGCAATGGAACAGCAGTGCCTCGTCCATCAAGTCCTTCTAGAAGACGACTTCATCACGTGTGGACTGTCACGGCAGGCAATGGAGGAAAATGGCACTCATGAACTTCATTTTCCATGTGTCAGCGCCTTTTAGCGACCGTCTGAACTAAAACTGGCGGCGGAGCTGACCGATTGGCCTTCCGACTCCATCTCGTCGCTCTGCTCTATATACTTCAACCCCAAGCCATTCACGGCTTTGCTGTGAGGCACATCAAGACGACTCATCAGCCCAGATCGATCCTTGTTACCCTTCATAGAGATATTCACGCCTTCCATTGCGTCGCGGAGCGTGTCACCAGTTTCGTCCATTGCTGCCAAGAACCGTGCAAGTTCTTTGCACAGCTCCCAATCACCCTCCTTCATTGCTCTTGATAGCAACCGTACTGTTTGTTCTGACGCAGATCCCAGCTCATCTAGAGTATGCAAGATGATGAGATAGCCGCCGGCCGTCTTCAAAGATCCTCGCTGGAGCGACTCTTCGAAAAGCTCTTGCACCGGCGGGAGATATGCGAAAAGAGTGCGCCATTGCCGCACTTCCGTTTTCCTTGTGCACTGCACCACAATGTCTAGATATTGCTTAAAAGACGATAGAAGCGAAAGCACCCTTGGTAAGATTGCTTCCTCGGGGCTCGGTCCGGAATCAACTTCCTTGTCCAATACCTTGTGAAGTAATATCTCCAACGCGTGTGCGAAATATTCCAGATTTTGATACCGGTCCGACAATTTGACTGCATCTGCTTTCCGGCCCTCGGTCAGGAAGAATCGCAGAATGTCAGGCAGGAACAAATGTGTCTGTTGACAATGGTCAGCTAGATATCTCTCAAAGGTAGCGATGGCAAACCAACCCGAATGGCGAAGCGGAAGAAGGAGAAGCTGATATCTCGTCGCTGTATTAGATCAGCTTCAATTCCAAGGATGATGCCCTTTCCGAGAAGTGTCGAAAGGGGGTAGAAGTCTAGAGGGACCGATATTGTCTTCGGCAGTTCTCGCTGTGTCTCATTTGAAGCCGCTTGCAACACCTCTTGTATGTCTGCCCAGACCTTGAAATCCTGGCCATCAAACACCCAGAGTGAATTTCGTAGAGTCACGTCTGCCCCCGCAGGCGATAACTCCTCAGCATGTGTGGCAAGCCCATCGAAATGGGGCTGATCTCTCATGCTTACATGAAATTCAACGTTTTGAGCGATGACTTTCATGTCGTACTTCAAATTGCCCTCGTTATTGAATGAGGGTTGTAGCAATACCAGCTTGGCATCTACCAAGAACAAGACAGACGCCACGGCGACATCTTGCGACGGATCACCGTCAACGAGTTGGCTGTCTGGTAAGATCCAGCTCAGACCGCGAACTCTTGCAGGCGATCGCACGATGCCATGAAATGCGATTTGTCCTAGCTGAACCAATCTGATCGAACCATTGGTGGGCGCGAATATGAAGTGGTAAAGTAAGTTGTCGTAGGTGTACACAAGCAGCGAGTCCTCTCCTGACGTGGTCACTAAAACTGCTGGAGCTGGCAATCGCTCTGTGTGAAGCACTTGGGCGGTGTCGAGCGCCGTTTCTCTCGAGTAGAGGCGCAATTCGTGCGACTTATTAGCCTCAACAGCAGCGACGAGGATATGCTGATACCAGCACATACTGCCCCTGACCTGAAACTCATTTTCCATGGCTTCGTTGGCAAACGTTTTCCATCGACCACTGTTGACACTATAGTGAGCCAAACCTCGGCGCCCGGCCACAGCAACATATCGACCGTCTGGTGAAATGACAGTGTGGCGGATAGGCCACTGCTGAAGCAAATAGGCCGAGGGCACTTTCGTTGTGTGCCATAGATGCGGCTCCGCAGAGATGCTGGCTAGATCTGGCAGGTCATATCCGCGATATATCATGACGTTGGTACTCGTCTGTAAAACGGTACGCATGAGGTTTGCAGCGTTGTAGTTGCCAACGACTGCGCTTCTCGCCATCTCCAGCACCCAAATCGCCTCGTGCATGCGATGTGTTATAAGAATTTCCGACCCGCTGCCGAGCCACACGGCGTCCCCAATGCCAGATATCCAGTTTTCACCATTGGCCTCAATGATAGCGTCATGCGCGCCGAAACTGTTGCTGCCCGGCTTCCCGTAGACGCTCCATGTAGCCCATCCGCTTTCATATCCGGCAAACAAACAGTAGCCGTCAGGTGAGTAGCTTAGAGTCGTAAGTGAACCAGAAACCGTTGTCGATACTGGGATGGTGTGTGTATGTGAAGGAGGAATATTGCCAGCGTAATCTCGAGCCGAGTAAACACGGATGCACCCATCAGCACAGCCTACAGCAATCAATGAGAATCTTGCGTTGATGACCGCTTTTACGGCGGACTCCTCCGACTTAGCGGGCGTATGGAAGCAATACCCCTTGAAAAGCTTCTTGGGGTCAGCTTCTTGCGAATTCCCGTTCGACTGGTCGCGAGGATGAAGCCGCTGGACTGCATAGACCTTGCCGTCACTTGTGGTCCAGGTTGACAGGTTCATAGGCCGGTCATGGGTCATCTCGACGACGGTTATCTTCTTTTCTAGCCATCCCATTCGACTGATGATTTCTGTCTTAGTCTGGCTTCCGCTCTGGTCCGGGGTCCAGCGGATGCACTGTATGGCGCCCGGTTTGCGCGTGGCAACAACCAGCTCGTCATCCAGTGCCAGAGCGCTCTCTATGCCAGCATCAACTTTGATGACCATCCTGAAGCGAACGCTTACATCACGCACTCCTTGACCCTCACCAGGGCCCCAAAGATACTGATCTGGAGCTGTACTTCCAGGCTGGCCATGATGGCTCTGACGACGTCGTTGGATGTTTGCGTAGCTCGGGAAATACGGTTTGTAGACTTGGGCTTCGGAGTCCATCGCAAGCGAGTATGTTATTAGGTAGCCTAAGGTAGTCCGGACCACAAGTATAGCCGAATCAGGTCTCATCAGAAGGTCGACGTTTTCGCCATAAGTCGATAAAGAAGATTCCGAGCGGACTACTACTGCCAAAATCACAGTAGGCTTGAGAAGAACGTCAGCATGGTTTATTGAACTTTACTAGACAGAGCTATCCGGATCAAGAACCAACCTTGGCTTGCCATATTGTCATTGAAGTGGAGGTTATTGATGCGAAAAGGTGGCCAGGACGGGAGATGCGCAGCGCGAGGACGGGATCTTTCAGGGGAATGTTGACGTTGAGGCGGGGTGATGGCCGACTTGTCTCCGGGTCCTGATCTTGGTCGTAAACTGGCTGAATTGCGGGCGTCAGCGGTGTCATTGGCGTGGCCAGCTCAAGAGCATCGTATGGCGATTGTTGCTGTTGAGCATTGGCGGAAGGCGATTCTGAGGCATCATCTGTCGGCCGATTATCGAAGGGATTGGGTAGTCCATCGTGGGAAACGACTAGGTTGAAGGCAGGACCAGACCTGCTGCTCGTTGCGAAGATTCTCGGGGTTCCTATGGGCCAATACATCTCGGAAAGGCCCTACGTAAACGCGTCGATCGTTTCGGTGAGGATATGCCGTCGCAATGGCAAGGTGTTGTTGGTGACAAACGGGGGGTTCGTCGAGCCGAAGACCAGGTATTCTTTGTCGTCGAGCCGCACAATATCTTGATCATGGCCGCTGCTGTATTTCAAACAAGTAACATCATGTCCTTTGAAATCGATCGAGGCCCATCGACGACACCAATATGCGGGGTGAAAAGGGAACTGATGATGCGAATTGACGGCTTGGAATAAGCATCGTTGTACGAGCAGCTCCTTGTCGCCGGCGGGAGCTTGTGAAGCCACCAGGGAGCGAGCTTCCCGTCGATAAGGTACCCGCCTTTTTCGGTCTTTGGCAGCTGCACTCCAACATGTTACGGATACAGGGCAGGCGCTTTGTTCGGACCGCCTTACCCGAGCACCATTAGGTAATCGGTGGCACCGCGATATGGACTCAATGTGGCTACAGCGTAAGGTGCCTTACACAGCCAGGAGCAAGGTACCTACCTAGGTACGGATACCCACTGCGCATACCGCATTCGCTTCAGCATGCCAACGACAACATTGTGAATTTCATCTGGAGTTTGGCGTCGGCTTACAACAATTGAGTGTACAGTTGAGGCAACACTGATTTCTCGCTGCGAGAGACTGAATTCGTATGTACTGACCGATTATTCTTGTGCACTTGGAATTTTACCACTGCTGTCGACATACTCTGCGTATGGCATCTTTCAGCTTGACCCTGTCTGAGTTGTGTTCATAGACTAACCTTGACATACCTTACCATATAGTATTGCGCTCAACCCACGTTGCTGCCCATCGTACAAAGCGTTCCTGGCGCGCTATCATGGTGCCTCCTCGCACAAGGCTGAGTCTCTCCAAGGAGAGGTTTCCGGCTTTTCTGACCAACCTCAAGAGCCAGCCGTACCACGATCCCAGCTCAAGCTCCAGAGGACACACGTATGGCCCTATCTATGAACAGTCCCTGTGGAATTTCTTACTTGGAATACTGACTACTTGCCCAGGTTACGGTCAATAGCCTGGAACCCATTGGGAACCTTGGTCGCGACAGGCTCCTCAGACAAAACGCTCCGCGTCTGTACGTGATGAAAGTGATCCGCTTGTGCATGGGGCACTGAGACTGACTTGCCTTACTTTTGTAGGGAATCCGGAGAAGCCAAATGTGCGGTTCTCAACTGAACTGAAGGGACACTCAGCTGCCATCGAAAAGGTTGCATTCAATCCAGTCAAGGATGCTGAGTTGTGCAGTGTAAGCAACGATGGAGTCGTCAAGTTCTGGGACGTTCGATCCAAGACTTGCGTCAACGAGATTAGAGGCTTGGGAGATGCTTTCACTCTCGTATGGGCGCCCGACGGGCAGTCTCTAGTCGTTGGGAATAAGGTTCGCTATATCGCTTTTGGCATCACCTGGAGACTCTTTGCTCACGCTCGATCTGCCAGACGGACAACATCTTTGTGCTGTCACCAACACAATCTACGCCGATATCGTCTCATCAGCAGCCCAGTCAGACAAACCAAACCGCTTTTGGCTGGGCCGGCGATACGATCTTCTTGACAACCGGCGAGGGAAGAACCCGGATCTTGACATATCCTGACTTCAAGCCTGCTTTCCAATTCAACCATGGCGATCAGCCAAAGGAATTTGCTCTCAACGGACACACGTCTTCCTGCTTGACTGCTGAGTTACAACCCACAGGGCGTTATCTTGCTACGGGGGGTTCGGATTCCATCATTTCTCTCTGGGACACGACAGACTGGATTTGCCAGCGAACCATAACCAGCATGATCGGCCCCGTGCGGTCTATTAGTGAGCTGAATTACAATGCTTTGCACTGCGTACGCTGTCTAACGCTTCGATAGGTTTCACCTTCGACGGCAACTTCTTGGTCGGAGGTAGCGATGAAGGTAAGTTACTCGGCGCCAGGAAAGCGTAGATACTGACTGCGCTGCCAGGCTCTGGATTGGATATACGACATGCAGAGTCAGGAGACCATGTCCACACCTTTAAGACAGCTGGACCTTGCCCGGTCGTGGCCTGGGCGCCGACAAAATACTGTTTGGCATACAGCGATCTTGGCGTTCTTCGCATCGTCGGAGTAGACGCAGAGAAGAAGTGACGAGACACAACGACTCCATTCAGAACAGGTGGAATCGTCTACTCTGGCGCGGAAACAAGGCCTTTTCAGCCACGAGTAAGTGGGTTCTTCAGTGGCATAGGTGGAACAAGGAGCTCGAAAATTCCTTCCCAAAAAGGAAAAAGCAGGTTCTAGCGTGAATCAATTTCGGAAGCTGAGCAGTTGTATGTCGACCTGACAATAATCACCCACAGGCATAGACGTTGAGGGAGGGCAACTTGAGCTGCAAGATCGGAAGACTGAGAAGCTGAACTGCGTGTTGCCAATGTCAGATCGGCCCAATTTGACGCCGCTTAGGGACGAAACAGGAGATGGAGGCAGAGAAACGAATGCGGCCCTATTGAACAGTGCAAGCTATTCTTATAGCTGACTACAGGACAAGTAGCAGAATCAAAATCAGCAGCACTGCAATAAAGACCTCCATGACTTTCACGTCCAGCGACGGTCTGTTTGAATATGTGGGCTGAGGAGCCTGCGTTTGTCTTCACAGATATAGCTTGCCAGGAAACACGCGCCATGCATCATGTTGCCTGACATCGCCCTCGGATGAAGTCCATATTGGAGTAGACATGAGATGCAAACAACAAGTTTTGCACGTGCTACGGATACTCTATGCATCTCTATAGGACACCTATATAAGTGCTAGATGCAGGGAAGTAAGGTGAACATAGAGAGTTCCTCATTGGGACTCATTAGAGGAAACTGATGAGAAGGTGGTGCGACTTGCAGAAAAGTACCCTACGTGCTTACCTACACCTACACATGCAACGTGTGCGGTGTGCCACCCTGCTTCACCTTACTACACTTTGGGACCTCATTGTGAGATGATCACTGCCTTTGGTATCCGTACAGAGCAGAGGGGTCAGAATGTAGTCATTGGCTGACGGCAGATGCTGGGGTCTTGGACAGCTGTACCGGATTGATGGGCTGCGCGGCCGTTGCTTCCTAGCGCAGTGTGGCTGTGGTGCATGAGATTGTGGTGTGAGAGAGGTGAGTGCAAGTTGCGCGTTCAGACGTTTGCCTAGGATCGCTGTCGCTGGTGAGAACTCTCGTCTACCTTTGCCTCGGCCATCTCTGCTCCCGGCTTTTACCCGTACATCGGTGACTGACGTGGTGTAAGGCAGGTAGCTTAAGTACGGATACCTCTCATGCATGATGTTACCTAAGGTAACGAACGGTAGAAAGCTCGCGGCATCGTAGGGCAGGGAGGGAAGGAGTGAAATGTTAACTCACACATAGAGTTTTGGCTTCCAGTTGCCTGAAGAAATTTAGCTCAGAGGTGACAAATGACCGGAGACATGACAATATTGGACAATTATACCTGAGGTACGGAGTACGGAGTACCTGACAGTACTCCGTACGGTCGATACTTAGAGTTATCCATGAGGTAGGTAGGCACCAAGGCAAGGCCAAAGCAGCACATGCCTGACGATCCGCACCTTTACTCCGCTCCGCAACTGCGAGGGAAAGTGAGTGAAATTGGCGACAAGCCCATTTGCGGTATTGTGCTAGAATCCGACCCGACTCGTATTTCTCGCTTTTCGCTTTCAACGCAGGGTCTTTTCCGGCACTGCCCACTGCGCATATGTGCAGGGTTTCTCGGTGTCTCACTCCCTGATTTGTCGTGGTGGGCATTCACTCCTGTACCAGTGTGCCTACCTAGGTAAGCACTCTAAGGTGCGAACACATCATCATTCATGCCTTGAGGTGAGGTAAACCAAAAAAATTAAAATTGCCTATAAACGAATACATAGGTGGCACGGATTCTGTGACGCCCGCGAAGTGTCTATCGTGATAGGCACATAGGTATCCGTCCAGATGGACTGGACTGGACATTTGCGGTACATGAAGCTGGGGGTCCCATGTCGATAATGTACTTTGATGTTATGGAAAGCGTATGGCGGCCAGGCCGTGTCGCTACCGGGCTCAAAGGTTGGCTGCCAGACACTCCCGCACTAATTGCAGCCCAGTATCCGTAGGTACCTTACTACATACATACCTACGCAGCTGGCAACTGGTCGCCGATGCCCGCCGTGCTGCCATACCACCTCCTCCCGTTACCTCACACGCTCAAGTGCACCACTGCACCTAATCCTCCGCTTGTCTGGCACTCTATCCATCCTTGCTTCTCAACCCCAAATCTCGCGCTCTTGACAGACCCGACGCTGCTTCTCCCCGTCTCCAAAGGTCTCTCCTCCACTCACTTCTCTACGCCTGGGTACCCTCCACCCTTCTCTCCACCGCCCCAACGACGACCGATAACCCATTCTCCGCCCGCCCTCTTCGCTCTTTCATCTTTACCTACACTACCAGTTACCGACGACTTTTGCCTTTATCGCCTTTGGACTTGAGGGTCGTCTGCAGCACCATACTCCTCCGTACGAGTCCTCGGAAACCTCTCTTCAACATCAATCCCACCAGTTCGAAACGCCCCACGGTGTTTAACCCTTTGTGCGACCTCGACTAGTACGAAACACGACAGTCAGCAGCGATAGTAATTGTGTGCGCGCGCCCATGGAATAAGGGCATCTTTACATTCGGTTCACCCCTCCGATAACAAGAGAAATCGCCGTTTGTCGTTCACAAACACTCTCCGGGTTACCCGACCGTTCAATCAACAGACATTGCATTAGTAGTTGGATTCGCTGAGACTTTGCCCTCGTTATGTCGTCAAGTACACCCACGCCGCCAGATACAAATGGCGCCAGCTCCCACAAACGCCCTCACAGCCCAGACGCCGAGTCCAATGGTCGAGAAGGGGCCGCCGACAACAGCAATGTTCCCAAGCCGAAGCGCCTAGCATGTATGATATGCCGGAAGCGCAAGTTGAAGTGCGACGGAGTGCGGCCCAGTTGCAGCACTTGCGCCAGGCTGGGCCATTCTTGCGCCTACGATGAGGTTCGCAGGAAAAGCGGTCCCAAGCGAGGATATGTCAAGGCTCTAGAGGAACGACTGAGTGAGCATTCCCGTTTTTGCGCCCTGCTCTTTTTGACATTTGCATTCTCCGTTCCACGTCTTCTTCCTTTACCGTGTTCCCGTCCATCATCGCCTTGACTGACTGAACGTCTTTGCACCCTGTATAGAACAAGTCGAGACCCTGCTCAAAACCCAAGACCCTCCACCCGTGCCAGCCAACCCCTCCTCCAACATACCTCACAACTTGGACGCAGCCGCCGCGAATCGTAGCCGAACCACCGCCGCTCAAACCAGTTACAGTATTCCCAATCCCAACCTTGGTCTCGGCGCCGATCACGACGTCGACCGATGGCGCTTCAACGACGAGTCTCCTCAGGCTCAAAATGCGGCTGCCCCTCCAATGGATGATTTCAATTTCAACTCCAACATGTCAATGGGCATGAGCAACGCCGGGAGCAACTTCACCTGGGAAATGATTGGACTGGGCCTCGAAGAACCTCTTCCTCCACAGGAAACTATCGACGAGCTGTCAGTATCATCATAGTATCTCCTGAAGGCCACTGTACTGACGAGTGCTTCGCAGCCACCAAATCTTCTTTGAAAAGGTTCATCCATCCGTGCCTATGATCCACAAATATAGATATCTGGCAGCCATGAACTTGTACGGGCCCCATACAGCTAGCGATGATTGAATGCGGCTATGTACAAGATCATACTGACACGAATGATAGAGCTCCGAACCAACGCCCACCAGTCGCGCTCCGATATGCCATATGGACCTTGTCATGCTCAATCACTGAAAAATACCTTGATCTCAAAGACCTGTTCTATCAAAGAGCTCGTAAGTATGTCGAGGCGGATTACATCAAAGGGTATGGCGAGCACATGATATCTGTGGCTCATGCTCAGACCCATGTGCTGCTTGCCTCGTACGAATTCAAGATGATGTACTTCCCAAGAGCCTGGATGAGCACAGGATCTGCCATACGCCTGTGTCAAATGTGAGCTCACGATATCCACCATCCAGGACTCGGTAGCTAACAGGTGTTCAGGATTGGCCTACATCGCCTCGATGGTGCCGGATTGGACGTGAAGCAGTGTCTTCCGCCGCCAAGGGACTGGACCGAGCGCGAAGAGAGGCGACGTACCTTCTGGATGGCATTCTGCGAAGATCGCTACGCGAGTATTGGCACCGGGTGGCCGATGACGGTGGATGAAAAGGACATTATGACAAACTTACCCTGCACAGAGGAGTCTTTCGACATGAGCCGACCTGAGCAGACACAGTCTCTGCAAGATTGCATGAGCCCGTCTGGAGCTGGCAAACTCTCCTCTTTTGGAGGCATCGTATTGATGGCATGCCTCTTTGGCCGCAACCTGATCCACTTGCACCGGCCTGACCCCGATGATCGAGACCACGACCTTAACGGCGAGTTCTGGAAGCGGCACCGCAACATGGACAACATCCTTCTCAATACTTCTCTCTGTTTGCCATCGCACCTCAAGCTTCCCATTGGCCTGGGGAACCCCAATATCGTGTTCACCAACATGAGCATACACACGTCGACAATCTGTTTGCACCAGGCAGCTATCTTCAAGGCAGACAAGAATAAACTCCCGGCTTCAGTCAGTGCAGAAAGCAAGGTGCGCTGTATCACAGCGGCGAACGAGATCGCGAGCATCATGAGAATGATCTCACACATGGACCTTTCAGCGGTATGTCCAGCAAGAGTCCCATGACACCCGGGGTACTAACATATCTCAGATGAATCCTTTTATATCCTTCTGTCTTTACGTTGCAGCAAGGGTATTTGTTCAATACCTCAAGAGCCGTCCAGACGATAGCCAAACAGCCGACTCATTAAGGTTTCTTCTCTCAGCCATGAACGCACTCAAGAGAAGAAATCCTCTTACAGAGTCGTTCCTTGTGCAGCTGGACGTTGATCTGGAAGCCCTTGCGATGAGGATACCAAAGCTCAAGACGGCATTTCCCCGCAGCGGTGAAAGCGTGAGTGAACAACATCGTATTGGCTTTCCTTGTGCTAACTATTTCACAGCCCAGCTCGGCCAACGGCAACGGCGGCGCCAAGAGCGGTGCTGTGTGTGACGATCCGGATGGCGTTCAGGGTATTATGTCCTACCGTAACGAGTGCCACTTCATGAAGACTGTGGATGATGATGGAAACGCTGCTAATGCACCGAACATCATTGAGCCTGGCCAG